ATTTTTTTATGAGTGAAAGTAAGTATTTTATTTCTGCTAATTTTATAAATTAAAAATATTGTTTTATGACCCACTACACCGAAAAAAATAATGTAGTTGAGTTAACATTTGCCTAAATGTCATTTTTAAAAATGTTGTTTCAACAAAAAACCTATTGGATTAATCTATATTTTGGTGTTAAAGCAAAAGTCAGAGTTTGTCAAAGTTTATTTGTTCATTTGACAGTTTAAATATTAATTTAACATAAACTAATATTTTGAATTAAAATGTTTATCGTACTTTGATTTAATAGCTGGAATTTGTTGAATCAACTACTGAAATTTTTAGGATTACCTAAAAAAACTATTAAATTAACGTTTAGTTGCTCTTTAATCCAAAACTTTAAATTTGTTCATTTAACAAATTTAAAATGTTACTTTAAAATTTAAAATGTAAAATTTGCATTCATAAAATTGCCGAGAATGGCGCTTCGAACACTCACGCCACGTCATTAGACAATGACGTTTTCTTACATCTCGCCTTAGTTAGCTTACGATTAGGTGTATATAAGATGAGATATCTGTTTGTTTAAGGTGTGTTCCACAGTAGAACTTTCACTACACCATATTGCCCGACACTGTTAAGACCCTCAATACAGGGCGAAACAGTCTGTCGGTATTTGAAGTAGGTGGAACACATGATACAAAGATGTATCATGGGTGGAACACGCTCAAAACAAAAACTCTGGGCGAGGTGAAGGTTCAATTCTTTCTATTTATATATAATAATATATTATTTCCATAATTTTGTTTTGGATACCAACCTTTAAAGAATTTTACATTTTCAGAATGTTAATTTAACATTTTATTGGTGTTAAGTGAATATGCTAAAAAGGTTACCTGGACATTTCAAGAAATTTACCTTAACACCCTAAGAATGTTAAATTAACCAAATTAGCAGATTAGAACAAATATTCTTATTTTGTTCATTTGACTGTTATTTGTTGTTCAATTAAACAATACAATTTGACATTTTTAGATGGTTAAGTAAACGTGCAAAAACCATTGCTTGTATTTAAAGTGCATAAAGAGTTGAATTAATATTTTTTTTGTTGTTTCAACAGCTTATTTTTTTCAGTGTACTTTCAAGTGACCTAAACCTGATATTTTGTTTTGTTTAACTCTTAACAATTTTTTTTGCTAGATACTGAAACTTAAATTACATTTTAAAAGTTTTTAGAAAAATTACGTTGTACTTGTACTCATGAGTACTTTTTGATTTTTTGTACTTTGTACTCAAGTACATTTTTTTAAAGTACTTGTACTTTTACTCAAGTACTTTTTTGTTGAACTCGGAACAGCTCTGAGTACTAGTATTTAAGACCAAAACCTCCAATGGATTTTACAAATTCAGCTCAGAAGGTTTACTTATACTCGTACCCATAGACTCCATGCTCGTACCATTGTTTTTAGATGTTAATACAGACTTCGCGAATGAGTTACTAAAACTTCGATGGACCAGAACTTTTGAAGTTGAGCTTAATTTTTAAAATCCATTGGGGGTTTTGTTTAAAAAAATAGTACTATCGACCTATACATTATTTAAATGTAGTATATTCCTTAGGCTATTTTAAAATAAATGAATATGAAATCAATGATACTTGCTCGGTATTAGGTATTAACCACAATCGATTTAAATGCCAGTAATAATGCAATTAGAATGACAAACAAAGGGTATTTGACCCACATTAGCGTAAATGATTAGCGACGAAACCAAATAAAAAACCCATTAACCAAACTCTATATACACACATAACTTGTGTCATAGCTTACCTTATAGTAATTCTTAGTATACGTCATGAATACCATTATTTTGCCTTGGAGATTAAATTATTCAGGTATCGTGAATCAGATTTAATCATACTCAATAGAGATGCGTCACATAAAAAAATAGTTTTCCGCGTATACAGCGAAATGATTAATATTCGACTTCTTCGAGGTCATAGAAAGACAAATTAAATATGAAAGCGAGTTTATGATAATATTCTAGACATACTAATTAGTTTCTCTTACATTTAAGGTAATTACATAAGGAAGTACTTAAAAGAGTCAACATATTTTATATATGATTAAATTAACAAAAGTTTAACTATAATTTTACTAAATAAATGATCCATAGATAAAACTTAATAAACGTGAGAAACAAAGGTTTATTGGTGTAGTGTTACTGATAGGGATAATATGTAAGTAAAACATACCACTAAAGTTTATCTCTGACTAGGCTTGGGTTTGATAACAAAAAATACCAAATAAAATGCATGTTTTAAAGATACAATAAAATATTTTGATTATTGATTTTTTGTAGTTTAAATACACCTGATAAAATATCTACCCATTATCTAATATGTTTTTAATTTAATAGTATACAGGGTGTTTCAATAAAAACTCCCAGGCCATTTATTTCGAAAACTAAAAGTGACATTTAAATTCTGTAAACGCTAGTTTTTAGCCTCTATGATTGGCTTCACAACTATTTAAAAAATTTGTTTGAATAATAAAAGATGTAGGTGGCGCCACTGTGCAAAGAATTTTTTCAATGACAGGAACTTTTAAATTAATTTTTGATCAAATTATGTCCCATACAAATTTTTGATACTTAAACATGAAAGGAGATATTTGGGTTTAAGTTTTTTTTAAATAATTTTATCGAGTATTTTAATTATAAATATTTTTAAAATGCTTTAGCAGATGTTCATTTAATTCTGGTAATCATAATTATAGTGATAAAATTATTACGTCCAGTGACGCCTCAGGGGGACCCTTAACAAATAATATTGGCAAAAAATAATACGCCACTGAGTTTCTGGTAATTTTTATATTTTTTTCGTAATAAGCAACTAAAAATATCCTTTTTTTGTCTGTTAAATTGTCATTTCTTGCTTCGTTTTCGAGAAATAAAAATAAACTTTTTCACTTCATATCTCTGGAAAACAATAATCATTAAATAAAAACAAATGAATGTATGAAACATCATTCATCCTGTTGCTAACTTCAGCCTGTGACTAAAGCGCCATAAAGCCACAACTTGTCAATGTGTATTTAAAAGGTCACTTAGTGTCATGGAAACATCTACAATAAAGGTCGTTTTAAAGGTGGGAGTAGAAAAAAATATTGAATATCAAATACGCTGAACAGAAAAAAAATCAATACATCAAATTATTTACACATGACTTACACTGAGTGCTTCTGAATATTTAAGCGATTTTGCTAATACTTATAAGTAGTCAAAATGGAAATCTTGGTTCTTGTAATGGTTATTATACAAGTGAATGACAGTTTGTTAATATTAAATTACAAATTTTAGCATCGTTCGTCAAGGTTACAGCAAATAAATCTAGATTTAATGTTTATTATTTACCTAAATTTAATTTTAAGTGAAGTGTAGATTTGTATATTGGATTTTGACGAACTTACGTGCGGTAATATACCATACGAATAATTTAATAATTTACGTCGGAAATGTTAATAATTTTCAAAAAGTGTATTAAAAATATCTGAATTATAAAGTCTTATAATTATAAAGTTAACTTTAAATCATATGACTTCCGGCTCCGTAATAAAATCACTGAAGCTTATTATCAATGTATTAAAAAAATTAGTTGGTATATATTAATACTGGCTTTGCATTTATTTAATGTTTTATCGTATTTTTAGTTTTTGGTAAAAAAAGTATCATACTAATAAAGATTATACTAATAGAAATTGTACCTCACAGGGGGTGTTTATGCTACATTTATGTAACACAGGTTAAACACTAATAAAAGGTAAGATTGCTAAACCAAATCTGGCATTTATTTCGAGACGATAAAATTTGGATACATTTTCCATACCATAAATTTTTTAACTAGAACAGTGTGATGAAAATTTTAGAAAGCCAAATCTCCACAATTTAAGCAAATTTAAAATGTTTTCAAAAATCTCAAGAATTATAAAACTTTTCAATGACAATTGTAATTTGGTTTTATACCATATATCACATAAATATTATAGTATAATATAATAGTATATTGTACGACTAGTGAAAGAAACAATAGATTACTCGAGCGTGGAGTAACACGCGATTGGAACTTGATATTTTATCTAAAAACTGTTACCGTAAGCAGTTTTAACCTCACTTTTTTCCAATTTTAACTTAAAGCTAACTTCAACCCATGGTCGAAATCACAGGTCTGTGGTCGAAATGCTAATGCAGTATACTGTATACAAAAACGAATTATAAACAACTAAAAAACCGATTTGATATTTTATTTGACATTTGAAATCTGTCAGACAGTTTCAACGTCACTTTTTCAATTTAATATAAAAAATTTAAATGGCAATTAAGTTTTACAATAAAATATGAAATTATGAAAAAACAAGCAGAAGCAGAATGTTATAATCACTTTACTTATATACCTTATATTGTATTATACTTGTGATGGGCCTTTGGTCCTTTTGGGTAAATAAATAAATTTAAAAAAAACATTAAACATGTTGTTTCACATTGTAGGAGTGCATTAAATTATCAAAAATATCTAAAAAAACTTAATAACATCGATGATATCTTTACTACTGAATACAATTTTGTTTGCTAATTGGTTAAATAAACGTAACAATGAAAATAAATACAAAATATAAATCCTGGAATTGTAATTGAAATTTAGCAAGCAAAAGCTATAAAAAATAAAAAACAGGACATGAAATGAATAACTATTTAATTATTATTTTATTTTATCTGTATTAAAACCAAATTTTATATAACTTATAAGTTTCAAACGTAAAAAAGGGCAAAATAAACCGTTACGATTAATCGAAAAGAAATCCCCACAAATCGTTTGTTAATTTTCAAACAAGGGATGATTCAGGGTGCTTTACTGGTTCCCGGCCAATCAGGATGTTTATACCACCTCCCACCACTGCCACACCGGAATTGCAGTCGGCGCTGTATTCACACTCAAACACGCGCTCGCTACGCTTAGGCTACTACGATGATGAATTTTAAATAGAGACGCGCACTTTTTAAACGAACGTATTTTTTTCCGGTAGTGCATAAAATTAAGTGAGAAAGTGATTATTGTGTTTATTTATTTGGATTACTTCACTATTGAATAATATTATTATAGATATATTATTTAATATCAAAAAAACAATAATATTTCTGGTGAGTAATCAATTGTTTATTGCAATATAAAATATTTATTTATATATGCTGAAAAGAATTTGTAAGCTAACGCTTGTTACCTAATATAATATATATTGCATACTTGACATGCAAAATATATATATTAGGTAATGTATTATATAGAATCTATATATAGTATAGTATACTATAGTAACCATTACCTATTTATTTTAAAATTGACAGTTGCATTTGGAAACGGTGCTTAAAGCAAAATGGTATTTAAATTCTTGCATATTAAAAATAGGTAGGTAAGCAATTAGTTACTGGAACTAAATGCCAAATTAGTGATTCACTTTTGTAGGTAAAAATGTTGTAATTAAGATTGTTATGGTTTTTATTTAACCTTCCTTTTTGATAAAACATAGGCCTTAATCATTTTTATCTAATTTTCATGCAACTTATTTGTAAAAACAAATAATTTTTACCAACAATCATAAATTTTAGATAAATTCTTTCAAGATAATTTAATTTTAAATTATGAATACTCTTAATCAATAAAATTAAATTTGTTAATGATATCGAGAAGATATAATTAAAATCCTACAAAATATGACTTGTTATAACCTGCCTATAGGCATTAAGATTTCATTAAACATTTTCAACAATTTTTATGTATACTATTGGAAATTGGTAATTTTGAAAATATGCACTATTTTACTTTCTATGCCCACTGTTTTGTCAATTTTCAAAAATCTTAACGTACGTTAAACCTAACGCATCGCAGTGTTATTCAATTTGAAGCTGGACAAGAATGTGTTTAGTCTTTATTATTTGTTTTTTAACGTTATTTGGGAAGTCAAAAAATGTCTATATGGTTATTTTTTTTAATTAAAAAAAAACAGATTCCCCAGTTGATTTTATTTTGAAAAGGTAATATATCATAGTAAAGTTAACGCATAACTAAAACCTCAGTCGTACCACCATAAAAACCGCCATTTTCGCATCGCAAAAGTCGAAATTTTGTTGCGTGTGTCATGAAAATTTTATTTAACTATTGAGAAGTTTTGTTGATTTTATTATATAGTAAATGTATACTGTCTAAATAATGGTTGGAAAAAGTTAAGAAGGGACAGACGATACGAATGTATTATTATTTTGAAAAAAATACATGATTTAAAATAATCTAAAAGAGGTTCGGCAGTAAACTAGTTTTAACTGATTTCGGATGGAGATTCCACCGTGGAATGCCTATAAAACATTGTCTTTACTTTCACTGTAAAAAACTGCTTCTATATAGGATTTAGTTAGTTCATTTTTAAGGAATAAATTTCGATTTACACGTAAAAATTTGACATTTGACATCCCACACAGAACAGTTAGAATGGTTACTCTATTGTTTTATAGATGTCGCTTTATACAAATATTTAATTTAAATAATTTTTAGATAATAATAAAAGTATTTGTCGTAGAAAAAGTATGGTATGCAACTCGTTTATATACTTTTCCAGACACTCACTTGGTTAAGCACTCGCTCGAAAGCTTGCTCGTGTCTAAATTAAATTCGTGACTGAAATGGCGTTTATTAAACTAGATATATTTGGACATTTTAGTTAGCTTTATTTTAAATTGGGAAAAAGTGAATAAATCGTTTTTATTAAACACTCGATCACAAGCTTCGATCGTGCATAATAAAACTCGTAACCTAAAATGGCGTTTATGAAACTATAAAATAATAATTATTTTAAAGTCGTAATTTATCAATTATTTTACACTTTTTAATCTTCTAAAAATAGGCATATGCTGTAGTAGACAATTTATCTAAAGGTGACCTAAAATGTCAATCTAGTCACTAAGATCGATTTTAGTGACGAGATTAAAGATCTTCCTAGATAAAATTGTTTATAATTTTATCTGGCTGAAATTTCATCAAAATCACTATGCGCCATTTTGCTGTTTATACGTAGGTTATGTCTTTCTCATAAAAATAAAATAAATAATATAAATAATAATATAATATGTATAACAAGAGTAATATGTGCATATTGTGTACCTTATAACAATAGACTTTAAGATTCACACAGATGTTCCCAGTTTACATCCAGGTGTAAGATTTTGATTTTACGGGGGCAATTATATCCGATAGGGATGAGCTTTACCTAGTCGGCAATATCAACATGTGTGCCAAGAAACAGCTGTCTTAATACTGCAACCCGATATTTTTACATTAAAAATTACAAATATTTATATATTGGTCATACCAATTTGGTATTATATGAAGGAAGTATTTTATGATTTTATACGTTTTATCGAAGTCTGTTTTCAAGTGCATAAAAGGTTTTAAAGGATCAATTACAATATAAGTATACATTTATAATAGATAATAATACTCACTTAATAATTTATAATTAGGCATAGATACTTAAAAATCAGTTTCCCATGTCCAATTTATTAATAAATTGATTTGAAGTTATGTAGGATATAAAACAGTTAACAACTCGATATACTCAAGTACCTGTACAATAAAACAATTTATTGATAAAAATGAAATACCAAATTTAAACTAAATAAATAAAAATATATACCTATAAAGGTTAAATGTATGTAATTCTGTATCCCTTGGACACAACGTTTGATTAAAAATAATTTCTGTGAAACCGTATATTACATACAGTTACTCTAAACTCAACGTTTTAATATTTTCTCTGAAAATTTATGTAATTCAAATCAAGGCATAAATAAATTACAATAAAATAAAAGTTGTAAACTAACGATTAATATAAAAACGAAAATTTGTGATTTCTAAGATAATCAAATTTTAATTTATGTATTAGCTAAACCTATTTCTACATAATGCCACGTTGGCATTCTATAATTCTAAACTGGACGTTTTAATATTCTCACTGAAAATGTATGTAAAAAAATTATCATATATAAATTACAATAAAATAAAACGATTAAAATAAAAAACGTTAATTCAAATAAATGTTTTTTTACCTATAAAAAGAAATTTGTGATTTCTAAGATATTTCAATTTGTATTTATTAATTAGCTAAACCTATTGCTACATAATATATTATATACCTAATGCCATTATATCATTGCCACGTTTTCGGAATAAAAGTTGGTTAGATTTAATCAGATTATGGCGAAAATGTTTGCAAAATTTCAGAAATATTTATATTTGCACCTTTTAACCGGTGGTTTATTGTGAGGCACCAGGTGTCCACGTGCGGGGACACGTGTCTAACAGAGTATGCCACCCTCACCCACCCCAACTAAAAGGCAGATGCTCGATTCACTCAGTAGTGCATACGATTGGGAATGTGGTATAAATAATAAACTTCAATATGTGCTTTAAAAATATTGTTTATCTCCACGCGGTCTATAATTTAAACTTTATTATTGTCAACATTCGATAAAGAAATACCTTGTTATGGCCTAGGCCGATAAAAAATTTTATGAGGCAAGTAATTAGTTTGATTTTTTCTCGCTAGGGGTGTTTTGACAAATTAATCCTGTTCTAAGAAATTAACGTACTAAACTGGTTTAATTTATTTATAATAAGCACTAATTTGTTTATTTTACTGTTAATGTTTAATATTTTTCATTAAATTATTGTAAAATTAAATATGAATAACAAAACAAAAAGTGAGGTTAGGCCACAAGAAAACGCACGATTCTTTTTCTACGATTTAAATTATCTTTAAGTTTTAATTTGCTTTAAGTTTTCAGTGAAATTAAATGTTAAACACAGCTTAAACATTCCAAACTACCTATTTTTTAAATAAAAATCCAAACAAATTGAAATTAGTTACCTACCTATTTATTAAACAATTAATTGAATTCAATGTAATAGCAAAAATCCATTTATACTTCATGTTGCTAGGTATTGTCAAACTATTACTGCTTCTAAAAGCAATAATAATTATTCTACATTCAATCTTCAGCTAATAAATAAATGAGATTCTAAAAAAGTGAGGTTAGGCCGCTTTAATGTTGAATGACATTGATTTATATAAAGTGCTTTGAAGATAAAATGTTGTATGCCATTCGGCCAAGAAGTGCCTTTTTGTGCTTCGCTCAATTGTAGGCCTCCGCTAGGCGTCGGCCTTCAAACCTTGAGCTTAGCACAAAAAGCCTTACTTCTTAACCTAATGATATAAATAAATATTATTTACAAAATCAATTTTATTTAAAGAAAAGAAAGAAATTTGTATCGAGTAAAAATATTTTGCACAATGAAGTGTGATAATGTTATGCCTAAATTTATACATGTATAGCAGATAACTTTCTGGCCACCATTACTATTATTATTATTGTAGCTACAAATTCGGTTAAATTAGCAATTAAATATTTTTTTTTACTTTACTTTACCTAACCTAAAAGTAATAAAAATTCTTAAGGGCCTATGTTGACATCCTTCCTGTCTGATGTTTGATGGGCAAAGGCCGTGACCTAGAGAGGGTGGACCTTATGGAAACGCGTGTCTTGAATAAGTCGACACGTGCCGTTGGGTTTACAGTTTAAACATAGGCTCATCCTCTGACCACTATTGTGGATATATCCGTATAAAAAAAATCGTTACAAAATATGTTAATGTAATGCTTTAAAAATATCATTTATAATATAAACGATTTTTCTTGTAAAAATGCTATTGCTAAGTATATATTTTTTTAATTTTAAATAAAATTGCTTTAACTAAATATTACAATTGAATTTATCCAATGAAAATATATTAGATTAGATTTTTGCCCAAAATAAATGTAGGTATCTTTGTTGCTCCTCATCTTTGTCCGATTGCTCCCCATCTGCAGAACTTATTAAATCAATTATCGTATAAGTAATTCAGTATTAATTTAATATATTGGACTACAATGGCGTGACAGTTATACTTTAAATAAAGCTAATATTAGCTTTATTGGATTAAGCCATACTGACTACAAAATCCTCGTTCAATGATAATTTTCTACTTTAGTGTCTATAGCTAGTAAAATTTATAATATACTTTTAACCAAAGGACTAAAAACTAATGTTTTAAATCCTCTAAAAAAAATGTTATTGGTAAAAATGATTTTCAAACCACAAATTATTACGTTTTCGTTAAAATTATTATGAATAACAAAATAATACTAAAATACCTACACAATAATAAAACAGGTATAAACTAACTTTTAGTACCTATTGATGATAAATAATTTGAAAATTCCAATGGTCTGATTACTCACTTTTATCAGGTTATCAAGTTACAAAATAAACAGAATAAAATTAACAAGGCAGTACTTAATAAAATAACTGTTTTAATTCAATCAATATTTGTCTTTAAAGATTAAAATGATAATTAATGTGAATATATGTACGCAGAAAATTGAAGAACCACAATGAAAAACATATTCTAAAAATCACTATAGGAAAAAAGGCAAATAATAAAATATTACGCATTATTTTAAAATTAGAAACCACGATTCGTAATCGAAAATTTTTAGGGCTGAGCAAATAAAAATTGCTTTAAAATTGTATTTTCATTTATAAATAACAATAACATATTGATATTTATTTATGCAGTTTGTGTAGTGTAGGGATTTCATTAAAATTTTGTTTGATCCGTTACTTACGAGTATATCAAATGTAATCAAACGCATTTGTACAGTTACCTATTCAAAACTCGAGGTTTAGCTTTTAATCATATATGTGTTAATTTGTCAAATTTTCTTTTTAACTTTAATTTAAAATGACGGAATAATTAAACCCTAATTAAATCTTGTGCAAGTAATTTACATAGGAATACTTGGTGGGTATATTTATTCAAAAAAAATTATTACTTGTAGTTTAAGTTAATTTTAAGAGTCGACTCGAAATTTATAGGAAAATAAAAATATATTTACTATATTTTTAGTGCTATTGTTGTAAATCCTTAGAAGTAGGCACAAACAATTTAAAAATTCTATTTGTTATGGTTTTGGTGCGTAAATTAAGATTATTGTTTGCAAGGTTACTCTTTTGTTTAAACTTACTCAAGGAATATTTTAATGTTTATGTGAAAAACACAACAATAATATTTTTTATTGATATTAGGTTACCTTTCTTTAATGTGTAACCTATATATTCCGCAGGCTGTTGAACTACTGAGCATTGTTTTTCAAATTATTTGCTTAATGATAATGGAGTGTTGGTGTTAACAAATGACAACGCCTAGTATTTTTTCAAAGAACAGCGTTAGCAGTAAAAGTGAATCACATAAATAACCTAAATAAGTAAAAAAACGTTTTGCTTAATTATCTTTATACTAAAAGGGTTAAGAGATTTGTCCTCCTTGTCATAATATGACAAAATGTCGCCAACTCAATAATTTTAATGTATGTAAGTACAGAATTATTAAACGCTTGAAAAAAAAAAGTAAATACCTAAAGGTAAAAAATGTTGACGATTGTCATAAAAGGTTATGTGCATGAAAGTTACCTACACTGATTTCATGCTAAATGCAATAGATGAAACCACTCTTCCTATAATTTATAAAATTAAATTTCTTTATTTTAAGGCGGTGCAGGGCCGGCTCGAGGGGTGTTTAAACCGTCCATGAGAGGCGCCTTAAACAATTTTGAATAAAAGATTTCTAAGAACTTTTAATAAATATGATAAATATCAAACATTTTTGGAAAAGTTCGGGCGCCCGGAGATTTATAGACAGGGCGCTAATTACCCTTAGTCAGACCCTGCAGTGGGTATAATAATTTCACTTTTTAACACACAAATATAGTTTTTATATTGAAAAAAATATGTTTGATATAATGTCGTTATACTGCAAAATGTCGAATGTTACTTTTCTATCTAACTTTTAAGGAGGACAAAAAATGTTACTGTGTACTTTTTTGGAACTATAAAGAAATAAAAAAACTTTGGTACAAAACAATTCTCCCTTTTCTAGATTTTTTCTAGATATAGTTTCTCAACGCCAATATTTGAAAAGTTTATATGAACATTGTACTGACCTTTTAATTTCGCCGGCAGTACACTATAACTTAAATTCGGGCACGGACTCCACTGTAAAGTGCTCATAAAACAATTTCTTTATTTTTACTGTGAAAAACTGTCAATTTTCAAGAAATACATTTCGATTACCTTTATAATCTCTGTTTATAAAATATAAAAATTTGACATTGGACGGTGACACACAGATTCCCCTATACAAAAAAATATAAGTATTTGTCGTAGAAAAAGTATAGTATGCACCTCGTTTATAAACTTTTCTATACACTCATTAATTTAAGCACTCGCTCGCAAGATCGCGTATAAAATGCCGTTTATCAAACTTGATACATAATATACTATTATCTACTCCTACATTGACGAGCTGTGACTTTATGGCGTTTTAGTCACGGGCTGAAGTTAGCTTTATAATAAATTAGAGAAAATTGAGGTTAATTCTGTTGACAGATGTCAAATGTTGAACAAATAAAATTGGCTTTAAATTTTTCTTTGTGTACGTCGTAGATAAAGTATAGTACACAACTCGTTTTATAAACTTCTCTAGACACTCGTTTTTATTAAACACTCGCTAGTTAAAATAGCGCTTATAAAACTTGATAGATAAGATACTATTTTCTACTCCCACCTTTAAAACGTCCATTATCGTACATGTTTCTTAAAGTTAGTTTTAAGTTAGTTGACAGTAGTTAAATGTCATACAATCGTTAAAATAAAGTGCCATATTTGTGATATAATACTAAATGTGAAAATTGTCTTATTAACTCAATGCCAGAATACAAAAGTATATACCTATATATAGTTTTTAATTATAATAACATTGTACTGACCTTTTCATTTACAAGATTTAACTTTAAAAATTTCACGTGGAGACTCCACCGTGGAGTGCCCATAAAACCTCTTTATTTTCACTGTAGATCGGATTTAAACCATAGAGTATATAGATTTAAACGGTGGTTATTCTATTTTTAAGGGATACATTTTGATTTACACATAAAAATTTGACATTTTCACCGGTTATACAGATTCTCAAAAATGGTTACTTTATTGTTTTAAGATGTTAGATAATAATAATAAGCATTTCCAAGTAAAGTATGCAACTCGTGCCTAATTAAAATTCGTGACTAAAATGGCGTTTATCAAACTATACTATTATATGACTAGTTCATAATCACCACCATGATTGTTAACAACAATAAAGTTTAATTTAAAGATAACTTTAAAATATTGAAGCTATGCTGTTTAAATCCTTATAAGCGCAAGGGCCAAAATACACCAAACATTAAAATTTTCAATTTGAAAACAGTTTAACATTTTGAGTTGATTATGAAAAATGTACAAAAAGAAATATCTAAACATTCTCACAAGATTTTTTAAAGTTTAATATACTTACATATTTTTCAAATATTATTAATTTTTTATTGTTTACTTAGGTAATTGTTGCTTTAAATGTGTTTAAAAATTAAAACGGAATCGATCAATATATAAGTTTTTGATTTAGCCAAATTCCTGGAAATGACCCATTAATATTAAATCCAAAATGGCTGACCCATTTTGGATTTTATATTTATGAATAAATAGTGTATAATAATAATTTTATCCAACAAGAACCCTCAAGATTGGCAAAAAAAATTACATTGTATTTAGGGCAGATGCTAATCTTATTTAAAAATAAAGCAAAACAATAATGTATGCCAATTTAGTATCCCATACTTTTACGAGAAATTTTTATAAAATAATACAGATGAAAGAATTTTTTATTAATAAATATTTGATATTTAAAAAGCACACATTTAATCACAAAAACATAATTTAATATGTACGACATAAAATTTAAAGGAATGTTCAATAAATAATAAATATGAATAAACAATGCACAACATTTAAAATTGTAAATAAAAATAGTATTGTTTATTTAAATATACGTTACTTTTACATGCAGGTACAATACTGCCCACATGGCTAAACAAATATTAAAGTTATAAAAACATTGGCCATATTTAAATAAATATACGGGTACCTATAAAGTAACAAATAAATTAAATATCAACAGCAAAATCTTATCGACAGCATAATAAAGGGTTCAATTTATTAAAGGGGAGCTAAAACCGCTGTTGGCAGCTGCAAAAATATTTATTTGCACTAACTTTAATAAAAAATAAATCTAGAAAGTTTCTTACACAGCATAATTTTGTATGCAGTCATAAATTGATAATTTTTTAATTAAAAATAGCAACGACCTAGGTAATACGTATTAACTTACTTAATTACTAATTTCCACGACATTTACTTTAAGGTAATCCTATTAATTGCTGAAACAGGAAGAAATTTATGCATTTTTATATTTAAATAAATTCCTGTACACATCACGTAAACAGTAATTTTGATGAGTGATTAAATTAAATTACGGCATTTGTTTATGTTTATTTTTAAATTATTCAGTAATTTTTATAACGTTCTCATCATTTATATTATAACAAGATTTTTTTTCAGATTATTATGGGTGAATTCAAAAGAAGTCCTAGCAAAGTATGGTGGGGCAATGAAAGTTTGGAATGGCGAGAAATTTCAGCAAGTCCTGGTAGCCAGGATTCGGGGTTTTCGGATTCGGAAAACTCGCCCCACAACCAGCATCGAGAAAAAGAATCGCCATCCACAAAAATATCAAAAGATATTTACAAAGAGTTATCTTCCAAAAAAAAATCGCTAAATTTAATCGAAAACTTTAAAGAAAAAGTTACTCCCGATAAAATACTGAGAATAAACACTGACAGATTGGTACAGACCGAAGTAAAAAATGCAAGGAACCGAATAGAAATTGAGGAGGTAAGGTCCGAACCTCGTAGAAATAGATATACCAAATATTCGCCTAAAGTAAGCAGAAATTTATTCAACACGAAACCTAAAGACGCCTCAAGAATAGAAAATCAGTATTCAAACGACGTTTCAGAAGAAACAACAAACTCAAACGACGACTTGTTATCCAGTGATTCTTTCGACTTACAAACGCAAAGTCTGCCCATTATCGAATCGAACAAATATTTAGTTTATGCCTTTAACAAATCTGCACCGGCTGAATTGAAACCGTTGCGAGATGATGAATGTGTCACTTCCTTCAACAATTCCTTGTCAAGCGACTGCGAGAGCGAGCTCGAATGTTTATTTGATAGTCCATTGGAATCGCCAAAACACACTTCAACACCAAAATCAACGCAATTTCAAAAAATGATTAATTTAAGAGAAAAAATGCCTTTAGATCTTTACCTTAAGTATCAACAGAGAAGGTAAGAAAAAAATTATTGTTTTAAAATTTACTTTCAATAATATTATTATAATCTATGTATTTAAAATATGTATACATTAACTCTATGATGAATCTATATAGATTTTAAAATATAAAAATTGCAAACTACTTAAAATGTTATATATAATTATAATCTAAAAACTTTTAGCTTTACTTTAGGTATATTTCAAATGTTTCTTTTTTAATAGTAACATTATTCAATTCATATAACCACTAAGTTTTTAATAAAAAAATTAATTAAAATTATTTTTTAACCAAGCGGTTGTCCATAAAGTACCCCATAATGGCATTATTATAGCAAACAGTCTCTTCCCCATAATGTGCTTGGAATTATGTCAAGTTTTTCAAATATGTGTATAAAGTAATGACATAAAAACAAAAAACATTCGTATATGTGTAGAAAATGTCTTTAAGAAATACAGGGAAATTATTTACAACCCATTTCACCGTGTAATATTATATTTGAGGTTAATATGATATAAATTAAATTTTTTAAATAAATAATTTACATAATTATGTGTTGAAATTGAATTACTTAACTATTTATACAGGGTGTTTCATAATATATGCGCAGGACTTCAGGATGTGATAGCTCATCCAAAAAGATGAAAAAAGTCGCTATTAAGTTACGCTCTAAAATGCACAATTTTCGAGATACAGGGTGTTGAAATTTTAGAAAAAAATTCGTTTTTTTCGAATATCTCCGGAACCGTTTATCGTACAAAAAACAGCTTTTGTAAGCATTTTCTACTCAAAATAAGCTATGTTTTGTGCTAGAAAAAAATTTTTTTTCCTCATAATTGGTGGAGATTTTGAAGGGGTAGCGGGTGTTTTTCTCCTCAACTTCTACGCCCCTGAAAAAAGTACGGTTTTGAGAGGCCCATTCGAACCGCCAATGTTTTCTACACAAAAAAGGTACTCTTGGTCATAAGCTCTAAAGTTGACCGTTTTCGAGAAAAATCAACTTTTATGTTTAAAAAAATGGTCAATTTAAAAAAAAAATATTTTTTTTTACTAATTAAACAAAATTTATTTTAACGTTGGGACAAGTAACAAAACCAAACCATAATTGCAAAATAAAAAATGATTTAAAAGTTGTCTTTGCTTAATTCTCCAAACCGTAAAGGTAACGCATTTCGCACATTTCAGCATTTGAGTAAAAAATCATTTTTTATTTTTTTTAATTTTGCAATTATCGTTTGGTTTTGTTACTTTTTCTAACGTTAAAATAAATTTTGTTTAATTAGTAATAAAAATTTTCAAAAAATTGACCATGTTTTTAAACATAAAAATTGATTTTTCTCGAAAACGGTCAACTTTAGAGCTTATGACCAAGAGTACCTTTTTTCTGTAGAAAACATTGGCGGTTCGAATGGGCTTCTCAAAACCGTACTTTTTTCGGGGGCGTTGAAGTTGAGGAGAAAAACACCCGCTACCCCTTCAAAATCTCCACCAATTATGAGTAAAAAAAAATTTTTTCTGGCACAAGACATAGCTTATTATGAGTAGAAAATGCTTACAAAAGCTGTTTTTTGTACGATAAACGGTTCCAGAGATTTTTTTTCTAAAATTTCAACACCCTGTATCTCGAAAATTGTGCATTTTAGAGGGTAAGTTAATAGCCACTTTTTTCATCTTTTTGGATAAGCTATCACATCTTGAAGTCCTGCGCATATATTATGAAACACCCTGTATATTTAAACATATAATTATAATTATTAATTGTACTTGATTACTCATTGATACGAATATTTGTACAAGTACTCATAAAATGCAAAATAAATATTATTTTATAGATTTAATATTATAATAGAATATTGGACGTAAATTTAATTTTAAAGGTGATTTTTAATTAAAACTGGAAAACCAGATTTTTTCAAATTTACATTTTGTAATAAGACAAATGGAAAAAAATAATTTGATTATACTATTATAACCTTTTTATTAGATAGTAAAATTATTTTATGATATATTATCATATTATGATCGGTGTTTATTTAAAAAATTCTGAAATTCTGAAATGGGTCATTTGCTATACTTTCCAATACAACAGCAATGCAGGTCTTGCAGTTTTTGGTCTCTTATATGTGATTTGTTTTTCATTCATTATTTATTTTTTACAAAATTACAAATTCCTCTATTAGTAATTCTGATAGCTTTTACGGACCAACCATTTCAATAAGAAGTTTTATTCTATATTTTTTTAAGTTCATTTTATTAACTATTTTCTAGGGCACTTTACCAATAAAAAATATTAATAAATAAGTTAAATTAAAACAAAATATTTCTTTATTTTTAGAGTTCCTCCAATTTGCACAGAAACCGATTTTGAGAATAAAGCTGTCGAACAATGGATAAAAGAAGCGAAGTACAATTGCGAACAGGAATGCATGAGCACCCTGCAGTGCAAATCCATAATAGGTGACCTGAACCAAAGAGTATCGCAGCTTGCGACCTGTGCCACTGAAAACATAAGAGCCGTCTTGAAGCACGCCAGATGTATCGAGATGGAATACCAAAACCTTAATAGGTAAGAAAAAAAATATTTTTGAATTATCTATACATTAATTTTAATTATTTTTAGCGAAACAATGCACTTAGAACCATTAATTCAAAGTCTAGCTGGAAATATATTGGAATTTCTAAAGGCACACACAAGAAATATTAGCTCTGACATTTTAATACTTTACGATGATATTAAGAAACCAAAGAATACCGAAACATTAAAACAAGTATCAAAACTCTTCACACTATGGCAAGATATCTTAAACGAAATTTTGACAAACTCAATTAAAACCTTAGTTGACAACCTAGAATACCCTAAGTCAGACCTAGATTTACGTGCTACTGTAACAGGAATAACTTCTGTAGCCTTACGAAACGAGGAATTAATAGAAATGTTCACTAAAGCTGACATAATACCAATTCTACTAATACTTTGCGAAAAATGCGAAGGCTCTTCGCTAAGAACTTTGTTATTAAGAGCTTTGTCAACGATGTGTAGCAATACGAAAGCAGTGCGTCAATTCGAAAAATATTCAGGAGTACAAATAATAGCCGACACTCTAGATGAAGAATGCAGGCCAGAACCCGAGAGATCGGAGGTGGTGGCACTTTTGGCTCAAGTTACAGCACCGTGGATTGAAGATAATCATTCCGTAAAGGGACTTGTTGAATATTCGAGAAGTTTGGTAAAAAGTCTAACAAAATTTGCATCGGCAACAAAATGTTGCCAGAATTTGTTGCTCTGCGTGGCTGCCACTGCCAATCTATCATCTATGGACAATAATTCCGTAAAATATATGATCCAAAACAATACCGTAGAAGTGTATTTAAGAGCATTAAAAACCAAAGGTTCTTCCTCAATTTACCTTCTAGAACAATTAGCAACATTGATAGCAAACATGTCAGCTATAGATGCAGCTAGATCACATCTTAGTGGAGTGGATACCGCAGCAGCATTGCTATATTTTCTACAAGCTTGCCGATGTGGTGAAGACATAGAAAAAAGGTTGCAGCAAAAGACAATGATAGCTTTATCGAGGTTATGCGGAGATGCGGATTTTGCTAAGCAAGTAGTTAAACTAGGAGGAACAGTAAAGTTGGTATATTTATGCAGAGAAAAGAAGCAAAGATATGACAGCGATGCCGTATTAGTAGCAGCTCTGGTAAGTAATAGTATGCTATATTATGTTTCATAAAATAATGCTCAATAATAACATTATTTTCGCAAACGGGCGTAATAATTATAACTGAATGGCGCATTAAACCGGTGCTAGCGTACACTTAAGGACTTTCTTTAACCAGTTGCCATATGAAACTTATATTAATTACGTAGTTATTAGAAGCAATGTGAATCTTTCGCGGTTTTTTTACAATATCATAACAGTAGTTCGCTAACTCGGCGTTTATCCGATCATAGACCTTTCGATTTATTCGAATTGTAAGATTTTATAATAATAAGCATGTTACAAAGGAAATACTAATTGTGACTTATTATTTTACAGGCAACGCTTAGGAAAATAGCAGACGTTTGCGGAAGCGCAGTACTAAGTGCCCAAGATGCTCAAGAGCTAGTCGAACCCAAATTATTGGACTCTTTTTTAGCCTATTCAACTCAAAATGAAAGTTATGTGTAAAATATTTTAATATTGTGAAAAGTCACGTAAAAATCTTAGTTGCAAAATTTTACATGCATTTTTAAAAATATATTTATAGTTTGAAATAATTGGTATTGTATTACGTAATTAATATTTAGTTATAAATATTTGTTTTTATTTTTTTGAAAGATTTATGTTTTGTTATTATTTATTGACTGTATTAGTATATATAATTAAAATAAGAATGTATAAGTTTAAATATTACAATACCTATTTAGTCAAATAATCAATAGTACTTTTTAATTTAATGTTTAAACATAAACACTCTCTATGGTTTAAAAAAATATGTGCCCATGCCTTAAAAAATATTGTCCTTATGCAAATTCGAAATAATACAAGAGAACTTAAAACTTATATTAGGTACCTAACAAAAGTTGAAAATCACAATTTAAGCGTAATTATTTTATAAAAGAATTATTTTTGACTTAAGGGTTTATATCGTTTTGTAAGGAATAATAAAAAATAAAGTAAAAAATTACGCTTAAATTGTGATTTTCTTTAAAATATCACAGATTAAATTTAAACAATAGATAAAGTTTGTAATCTTTAAAAAATTAAAATGTTTCGAGATAATACTTTTTAAAAGGTTCCTAAATAATTTGCCTTTTTGACAAATAGAATCTAACAAAAGTATTTTTATAAAATCGTATAGACAAATATTTTGTTTTGGTTAACTTGTCATTGTAAAATACGTTTTTGTGTAAAAATTTATATACTAAAATAAAATAATGTATTACACTATGTAAAAATATTTAGTGATGTTACCAAAATAATTTTAATAAAAAGTATATAAATAAACATATTTTAATATTTTATTTGCTATATAGCGTATGCCTACATTTAGGAATATAGGTCTAATTATAAATACACCAAAGGAACAATGGTGAACTTTTTGTTTTCATATGTTGTCGTTTGTTTTACAATAATAGAACTTAATTGAGGCTATGCAAGGAAACAATATATGCACCAAAGTGAAAAATTTTAGCAAAATTTACGTTTTGTTTCTAGTTTTTTTGTTTTTGAAAAACACAGTGTCCCACCAAAGCAAAATAAGTTCGTTAAGTTTTTGCAGTTAGTTTCTAGAAGATAAACGAAGAAGACCTCATTTTTCTGTGACAGTTATTCCACACAGCACATCCCATGCATCCCATATGTGCATACGAATCTGATCAGCATAATTATTTAATTTTAGAGGAACAACAAGCAGTACTTTCCAATGCCGTAATAAAAGTTTACCATTCCATTTTTTTATTTTTACAGTTTTTCTTTTGATGTTTACCATTCCAAAAAGAAACACGAAACACAAGGCAACTTTTCATTTGGTTTACTGCAACAACCAGGTAGAGAAGTAGGCACCTTAAGATTTTCACCAAGGTTGTGCAGGGTTTAGGAATTTGGGGCTAAGTGTCATTTAGACAGTATCAGTTTTGAACCTACATGTATGAATTAAATAATATATTGTTACATAATTTATGTAAGTATGTATTAATTAAATAATATATTGTTACATAATTTATGTAAGTATGTAATATGCATTCCGTTTTGTATATAAAAAACACTTTTTTCAAGAGTTTATTTTAAATTAACAATAGTTTTGCAGAATACATTCAAACTAGGGGTGTGCGAATATCGTTCGAATCGAATCGATTCAATCGAATCGAATATTGATATTCGATTCGAAATTCGCATCGAATAATTTGAATTTTTGAATTATTCGAAATTCTACGAATAATTCGAAAAAAATCGAATAATCCGAAAAATTTTGAATATTTCGAATAATTAGAAAAATTTTAAAAATTTCGAATAACTCGAAAATTTTCAAATAATTAATAAAATATCTCTGGATTTTCAATTGCTTTCATTTAAATTCCTTTAAATCGTGTATCGAAATATTCTACTTACGAATAATATACTTTTCTGTAAAAATTCAATTACCTAGAGAAAAAAAATCTATAAGAAAAAGGTTACTCATGTAATGTTTTAGTATCGTATTTATTATTTTTGCACAAAAATTTGTAGCAAATTTTCAAATGTTGTATTTTTCATAATACTGTATTTGCTACGATATAACTTCTGTTATTTCATTCTCTTTCAAAAAAAAAACTATACTTATTATTCTATTTGTGTAACTATATTTCATATTAAATAAATGTATATTGACTTTTAAATTCATATTTGAATATTGAACATAAGAAACCCTGAATTCAAAATACTAGAAAATTCGCTAATAATATAATAGTTTACGAATAACTCGAAAAATTTTCAAATTATTCGAAAAAAATTCGAATTATTCGAAATATTCGAGAACTCGAATTCGAATTTTCGAATTATTCGATTCGAGTTCAAATAATTCGTTCGAATTCAAACTTAATCGAGCGGCTAAATTTATACAAAATGGAATGAAATAAAAAAAAATGGAAACAGTATATTTACATGTACAAATTTATTTAAATTGTACAATTATAACTATAATTTAATGATTACTACATATCTAAAGTAAGGTTTCTTGTTTTTATATAATATTTAATATATTATGGAATATTTAAATAAATTTTACAATACAACTTATTAGTTTCAATCATCATCAAGCACAATATGAGATTTTTTTTAAATTATAATTATTACCCGAGTCAAAATTTTGATCGTAATTTAAACCTACTTTGACCTACGAAAACTGATTTAAAACCTGTTCAGTCTGACCAATTTAGCACTAGACCAACCAAATTAATCTACATTTGAACAGATTTAAACCTCTAATAAAATTTTTGGTCGGATTATAAACCAAGTAAATCATTTTATTTCAGAAATAAAATTTTACCATTGATAAATTCCATTTTTTTATTTGACTGCAAATAATGAATGTAAAGAATTCGTCCATTTATTTAAGAAATTTAAATTATTCAACAGTTTGTACCAAGTCTTCAACCCAACCCGAACTCTATAGAGTAGAAGTATAGGTATACCTATACTTCTACTAAACTCAAGCTATTAACTTTTCTTTAACTGAACTAAAATAATTTAAATTTATTAAATAAATCGTAAATTTCACTCAATTTGGTTTTTTCTTAACTACGTATAAATGCTTTTAGGTAGGTACCTAAAATTATTTATATATTGTTGCTGCGCCTGCAAGAACCTCTATGCGCATTTTAACAAATTTTACAGGAGATGAAAAAACTACCAGATAAAATTTTAAGTTAACTTTTATGAAAATATGCATTCCTTAATATTATTTCAATACTTAATTATACTGAAAAATATAAGGAAATACTTTCATCAAAGTTTTATCTGGTAGTGAAATGTCTTTTCCTTCTCCTGTAAAATTTGTTAAAACACACACATAGATGTTTTTTCAGGCGCAGCAACGATATATTTAAATTCAAATATTGTCGAGCTTTTATTAATCGACATGCGCAGTGGCCTGGGCTTTTTTTAACATTTAACGCTCAATCACCTGATATCATTCCTATATCGGTTCAATACAAAAAAAATAAAACTCTGAAAATAGAAAATAAATAATATTTGTAATAATAAATAAATAAAGAAAACAAAGAAAAAACTATTAATTAAAAGAAACTAAAAATTTAGTTTAAACAAAAATTATTAAAAATAATTAAAACAGCTGTTTTAATACTAGTATTTGGAGCTAAAAAATATGCATTTACTCAGGACTAGATTTTAAATTTTGGTTATTTATTTTTGACAAAATCTTTCGATTTACTTCAAAGTTATAACATGTGTTGGATCCTAAATACTGTTTTGTATGGAGGATGGCAGAAATTGTGCTTGTTTCCAATCTATTTCTTTGATTTGTTTTTAACAAATTGATAGCTTTCTACGTTAGCAGAAGAATGTGGCGAGCATAAAATATTTTCAACAAATTTACATAATTTAGGAAAAGCAACTGTGGTATTTTCTAGCTTTATATTCCTAACATTCAACCATCCTCTAATTTTTTTAATTTCTTCCCATTATTTTTTGTATAATTGATAATATTTCCTTTTCTTTATTTTTGGAGTCGAATCACTATCTTCACTGCTCCTCATTTCTACACTTTAATAAAACGCTTATTCGAATAAGATCCAACAAAGTAAACTAAAATAATTAACTTAATAATATGCTCTATTGAAAGACTGGGACTTCCCCTAATAATGGAAAACAAGAACATCATCGATTCGATGCTGTTGCATTCGCATTGTTGCCAGGCCCAAGAAAATAATAATAACCAAAAAGTGGAAACTTTAAATTTAAATTTTTTTATTTTAAAATTTATTAGCACAATTATTTTTCGAATTTTTATTGCTTAAAATTAATAAATTAAAATGTACCAAAGAATAAAAATCGGTAGAAAATCAAGTCTATTCAGTAGATGGACTGCCGAATCGGTAGATCTACCGAAAATCGGTAGATGTGGCAACACTGATACCGACAGACAGCTGTTTCGACCTATATTGGGTCTCATCAGTGTCGGGCAACTTGGTGTAGTAGAACACATTGTGTTCCACACATCCAAAACAAAAGGCTATCTAAGCTTATATACTGCCCACGTAAGCCAACCGAGGCGAGATGTAAGAACATCACGTGATCCTCACCGTCTGAAGACGTGGCCTTTGCCGCAATCGGTACATACTATGCAACCAATGCACGGCAAATTCTTTCATAGATACTATATGGCCTATAGGATTCTAGAATTAAATAGTAAGGTAAACATTCAATTTTCTTAGTTTAGTAAGTTTTTTTACTTGACCCATTACCTGCTGGTATTATTTAAAAGAAATGAACCTAGGGTTTAAATAATACCATTAATGGGACAAGTAAGTTTCTTGAAGAAACTAAGAAAATTGAATGTTTATACAAAAAATGTTTAGTCAATTAAATAAAACAATTATATCTGTTGTTTATAATATATTTACCTATTTGTAAAAGAAAGAAATTAAATATCAAGAATTTCTTAATGATTGGGATAAATATTTATGTCTGGCAACAAAATTAAAAATATAAATCATTGTGTACCAGAATTATCAATAATGTTTGCTAGCAGACCGACTATAAAACACAACCGCCTTACAATAAATAATATTAATTCAAAATAATAATCAGTTTACGAGGTAAGAAACAATACAGAATACGATCTGAAGCAATTGTTTGGTACATATTTTTTAAAGTAGCATTGTTCTGTAGATTTGTAAAATATGGCATCTGTCAACATAAGATTCACCAAGGTAAGTGGACTAAATTATTTATTAAAATTGTCGGGAAAATACAATATTTTTAAATGTCATTAGTTAAAGCAGGTTAAGTTAATGAAACACCGGACGCGCCTTAGTCTAAACTTTATAATAAATGGTATTACATTTTTAATCAATATAACAAACAATACTGTGTATAAATTAATATTGGATAATTTTTGACATTACTTGCATTAAAAAAATAGATACCTTTCCTGGTAGAGGTATGAATTCTAATAATTATTCCAAAGTTGGAGCGTTGTGATTCCCTGAAGTAGTTTTCAGAGCTCTGACACTAAAAAACTATTATAATATTTGATTAAATATTTAATTGTGAAAAAATTACTTCGGATACAATTTTGTTTTTAATGTGTAAATATAAAAATATTAAACTTTTAATAAGGATATCCAATGGATATCCTTATTAAAAGTTTAATATTTTTATATTTACACATTAAAAACAAAATTGTATTGGATATTATTTGTATTTGTATCCAAAATAGTTTTTCCAAACTTAAATTTTTAATCGATTTAATGTAGAAAATAAAGTCAATATTTTCTACTATGAAATGTTTACTTTGGTATCTCAAAACGTTATATATCGGATACTAATTTTTTGAGTAAAGCAAAAGAGGTCACAATTTTGGATACGGTGTGTGACTAATTTCGGATGTATACATGAGAATTTATAAAAAAGTAATACTATTAAAAAATAGTAAAATAGAACTTATAAAATTATACAGGGTGTTCCAAAATAAAGTGAATATATTTCGGGTGTGTCAAATCGGATAAATGATAACCATAGGCGTCCAAAACAGGAGCTGCTCTGGGAAAAAAAAATCCTCCTAACTTCTCGATCTTGCTATACATTTCCCTAGATAATTTTACGTTTTCGAAAAATCCAGGTTTAATTCTTATTGCTTGGGAATCACATTTACAACCCGGGGCATTAATTCCTTAACGTTATAAATTGGGACTACATACAGTATGCATAGAACAATGAGCCACGGAATTTGCCCTCCTTGTCCTATCCATCGGGCGGCGTAAAATTTATCTAAATGTGTCCTCACAGAGAAATGGAGTGAGATACCAGCATGCATACAAAACATAAAAAATCTTAAATGGTAGGGTCGTTATCAAGAAGGTTTATAAAAACCTTTTTAAGAAAATAATTTAGTGGGTTGATTTTTAAAATGAAATAAAACACAATAAAATCATGGTAATGGCCATAACAATCGCTTAATTGCAAAGATAATTATATGCAATTATCAAACCTCTAAAAAAACACCCTTTATAACTATGTTTCACCGTTCAGCCGATTTGGTAAGACGTGAAAACCTATCAAGGAATCGCCAATTCTTTCTACCCAAACGTTGATAGAAAATGAAATGTATGTTGGTCAGTTCTTGAAATTACAGTTTGTTCTTATTTATGTTACGATTTAAACTCTCATGATGATTTTTTATTGCCTACTAATTCGCTTGATATTTTTTGTGACGACACATTTTTAATAGCGCTTTCCTCAAAAACAGTTGGCTCCATAACTTTGTAACAAGAGCACCGTTTTTACGTAAAATTATCTAGATCCCATCAAAACAATTTTAACAGTTAACAATTAGAACATTACTCATTTGTCATATTTTAATTGTTAAAATTAAATCATTTTTTTTTCTTTAATGGATATACATAATAATATATATATAAATTATATTTTTTATTTAAACACTTGCGGCGACAACGCAGATTCAATTTCGTGGCGAAAGCTCGCTTTGTTAGCAGCTGGTTAGATCACGAATTAAGACGCTCTCCGAAATTAAGGCATCATCCGAAATATGAGTACTTTCTTTTTATGTAATGCATATTTGTTTGGTTAAAAATAGGTCCATTTAACTCAACTTACCTATATTCAAGGTTGATCTGTTTGGCAGCTACAGGGCTTAAAAGTTTTTAAAAGAACTGTTTGGATCGCTACATTTTTGTTTTTGTTTTTATTAATAAACAATTTTTTCGTAGATAAGTTTTAGTTGGTAAAATATAAATAATCTTGACCTACAGTGTATTGGTTTTTAACATGAGTAGCTCCATCTAGGGTAGATTGATAACCTACCCTAGAGGGAGCACCAGCTAGCTGTTGTAACGCTTTTAACGAAACAGCTAAGAAGAGTCGCCATTGTTAGTTTACGAGTGTTATTGGAAAGACGTAATCCATAATAGAAGAGTTCATCGTGCATGTTTTCTGGTATATTTTGGAATAAAGTTGAAAGGGAAGACTTGAATGATGAGTATTTTGATGGATTAAAGAGTTTTAAAAATCAGAACGTCTTTGTTTTTCATTTAATTTACATACTTACTAATAATAATAATTATTATTATTATTATAATCGATGAAGATAATCAAGTTATCGTTTATTTTTTGGTTTTTGGTACTTATACTTACTTTACCTAATAGTTTAGTTTTACTTTGAAAGCAAGTACACGATTTTGCCTTGGGTGCAAATAAATAATTTTGAGGACAGGTTTGTGTCTTGCTCAAGCGCTATTAAGGCTATTTTTATGTTGGACGTTTGTTTACTCCTATTTTAAGATGCACTCTTTGCCCTGTTTGAGACTGATAAGGCTGTTGAAGTGCCACTGACCTGCCGATGTACTAAATCAAAGTTCTAGAACAGTAAATACTTAGTTTTAGGATGTGGTTTATTTTAGCGAATAATTGACATACTATATTAATCACTATCACAAGATAAAATATCGAAATAAAATGATAATGACTGCATAGTCACGAGTAAGGTATGCTATTGTGGCAGAAAAAAAGTAATTGACGGTTTTTTCATTGTAAATATGGTTCTCACCAGTGAATTCACTTCATGAAGTATCAATCATAATATTGTCAAATCAAATAGTTTAAGCCTTAAAGTTACTTTAAGGGGAAATACTAAATATTTATTTAATTTATTAATTAAGTAAATAATGTGAACTTAATTGTATGCTTAATCGTAAGTACAGAATAGGAATCTTTTTTAACAGTTTTTTATAAATATTTTTTAGTTCATGCTTTTTGATTGTCTAATCTTTACACTATTTCGTATACTTTTAATTATCAAAATAATATTACAAGCAATGTTTTTTGAATAGGCCAGAGTCAATGAATGTCATATAAAATAAAGAAAAAACTGACCATATGTAAATATTTGTACTGCTTTTATTTACGTTGCAAAATATTTTGCTAAACAGATAAAAATATATATGTATGAACTTAATAATAAACATAATGTTTTTAAAATTAAATTGGAGATTAAAATATATAAATAAAAATAATCAAAAACATACATAAATGCTTAAAAAAAAAAAAATCTTTTAAATATAAAATCTTTTTTAAGCTTTATATCAACAATGAATTCGTGGATTCCCTAAGTGGAAATACTTTTCCCACCCAAAACCCTGCTACTGGACAAAAAATTGCAGATGTATCCGAAGCAGATAAAGCTGATGTCGACTTGGCAGTTAAGGCTGCAAAAGCTGCATTTACCAGAGGATCGGAATGGAGAAACATGGATGCCTCTGCCAGGGCAAAACTAATTAACAAAGTAATTGATATAATATTATAATTTAAACAAGTCAGTGTTTTATATAATCTGTTAAAATATTTATTAAACATGTCTTTTTTAATGAGTAAATCTCCTTAAGGCGAAAACTATTTAGCAGGTAAAAGTAGTTAATAAAAATGTAGACTTTTTTAAATTGGATAATGACTGGAATGAATATTTTACTGAGGCTTATTTAGCTTGCAGATTTAATTGAGAGAGATGCTAAAAGTCTTGCAGCTTTAGAAACATCAGATAATGGTAAACCTTTGGAAGCTGCCATTCTGGAAATATTGGGCTCGGCTGACGTTCTTCGATATTATGCAGGATTTTGTGATAAAATACATGGAAACACAATTCCTTCTGGTAAAATATCTTTTTATTAAGCCATAGGTAGAAGTAACAGTACACTGAAAGAAATTTGTTGCTAAAAGTAAATACAAATTTATACTAAAACTTTTATACTAGTGCTTTACACATTTATACTACTGTTTATTATGAATGTATGTTAAATTTTGTAATACATTTATTGTAAAGAAGATATGTTAAATCTAAATAAAAATAAACTTACCCTTACTATAAAATGTAAACTATAAGCGAATTACAGCAAAAAAATATTGCTAGAAACACATTTATATTGCTAGGGCAGCAATAGGCTGCTAACCAAACGAATATATTTGTTTTAGCAATGTATGTGGTAGTCCATATATGAAACATAAAATATATTTGCCTTAATTATTTTTTTATTTAACTTTAGTATATATTTCTTTCAGTGTAGGTATCTACAAGTTAATATTTTAAATTATATATAACAATGTAGTTCTTAGGAAACTTGACATTATTTGCGCCTCTGTTATTCTTAAATACCCTAACTGCGTAGCATTTTGTTTAATTTCATCTTTTGAAGAGTTTCCGTGACGGCAAATTCAAATGACTATATCTTTTGAACACTTATGTTTTTTAAAAAGGTCTAAACTATAATTGTGATTTTTTTGATATTTTTCAATGCTCCAGAACAATATTAAAAAAAAATGGTTTTAAATAAAGATTTATAAATTAACAAATATTGAAGGTTGGCGAATCAAAAAAATTAGATTGAAAACTACGACACATTAAGACATTGTTTACAAAATTTTATTTAATTCCATCCAATAGATTTTTAATAGTAAAAAACTACTAAAAGTTGTTTACGAATTTTTTTTAAGTCTCATTTGAGGGAACGTATTTTATATCTCACAGAATAATAGTATAATATGGTATCAAGTTTAATGAACTCCATTGTAGATACGAATTTAAATATGGCACAAACTAGCTTGCGAGCGAGTCCTTAATTAAATGAGCGTCTAGAAAAGTGTATAAACGAGTTGCACACCAAACTGTTTTCTACGACAAATACTTATTATTCTCTAAAAATGATTTAAATTAGTCGTTAAATATTTGTAAAGAGCGACATCTATAAAACAATAGAGTAACCAACTTGGGAATCTCAAATGTCAAATTTGTATGTGCACTGAAAGAAATATATGTTTGTTTTAGCAATGTATGTGGTAGTCCATATATGAAACATAAAATATATTTACCTTAATCATTTTTATATTTAGTTTTAACATAATATGGTTAAGGCAAATATATTTTTTGTTTCATATATATGGACTACCACATACATTGCTAAAACAAACATATATTTCTTTCAGTGTGGAAATCCTATATAATCCTATATACAATCAGTTTTTTACAGTGAAAGTAAAGAAAATGTCTGATTGGCACACCACGGTGAAATCACCACCCAAAATTAAGTTGGTCTAGTTTACTGCCGACGAAATTAAAAGGTCAGAACAATGTTCATATGAACTTTCCAAATATTGGTGTTGAGAAACTATTTAATACTTTTGTATTAGGATTATAAAATAATTTTGAAATTTTGTATTATTTACACTTTATTTTATCGATTGTATGATATTGACAACAGTTGTCAAATACTGCCAACTAACTCAAAACTAACTTCACCTCGTGACTAAAACGCTATAAAGCCACAACCTGTCAATGTGTATTTAAAGGGTCACTTAGTGTAATGAAAACATGTACGATAAAGTTTTAAAGGTGAAAGTAGAAAAACTAATTTATTTAAAAACAATAACCACCATTTTTATTTATCCGTTTTACGAATGCCGACTCATCTCTGAGTGGCTCTATCACGTCAGATTTTTGTGAAAAATGAAAAAAATGCATTTTCAAAAATCTATTTAGAATTCTTTAAATATTTTTTCCCTTCCGAAAATTTGTTACTTTAAAATTTAAAACCTAAGTATTCAAACATAAGCCGCAATAAAAGAACATTGTATTTATCGTTTCTATTTAATTAACTTTAACCTTGATCCGAATTAATTGACTTTTGGTTTAAATTTTTCAATTTGACGTAATGGAGCAATTCAATTCAATTCCTATTCGGATTCAGTGCGACAAAAACTTTCAAAAAAGTGTAGTGTATACACTATAGTTTCTGGTTTAATTTTTTTAGCATATATTATTTTATATGTAGAATACATTACTGAACTTCGCGTTCTCCTGATCCCACCTGTAAAAAACATAGGAAACCTCGAAAGTTTATATTATTAAAATTTAATGTAGTTTTTAACGATCACATTTTTATTCCCAAAAATAGATTTAAATTCTATATTGGCAAAAAATTAGCATTTTTTATTATAAAAATCTTTTTTAAGATGGAAATCAATTTGCTCTTACAAGAAAAGAACCAATTGGCGTAGTTGGACAAATAATTCCATGGAACTACCCAATTCCAATGGCCATTTGGAAATGGGGACCAGCCTTGGCAGCTGGTTGCACCATAGTTCTTAAACCTGCAGAGCAAACACCTTTAACAGCTTTGGAATTGGCTGCATTATCTAAAGAAGCCGGGTTTCCCAAGGGAGTCATAAACGTTCTTAATGGTTTTGGAGAAACTTGTGGAGCTGCACTTGCTATGCACAATGATGTCAGAAAAATTTGTTTTACTGGATCAACTGAGGTAAAAATTAGTTTTTTTATATAGGTAAGATTTTAAAATGGTTTGGAGTAAAAAAAATGTTTTAAATAGTATAAAAACCATTTGAATGCAAATATCATTGATGATATTTTTCTACAATTTTGAGAGTAATGGAGTTTTTAATAATAATAATAATATTAAATTGTTTATTTATTGTCACAATGAACAAATGAAAAACATGAAAAAAACTATTATATATATATATATATTGTAAAAAAATTGATTAATTTTTGTAGTTTTCTCTAATTTAATAACTTCAAAGACTCGTTTTGTTATATTTTTATTATATGTTGCTATAAATCTTACATTGACTTCTTGACAGCTTATCAAAAGAGCGTGTCGGCGCGCTGCCCCAAGCAACAAAATAAGTCGAATAGTGTCTATACTAACACCAAATTACCCTAAAAGGGTTGAAATTTACAAAAATTTAACCAAAAATTTGTGTTTGAGGTCGACATTTATTTGTGGGCGAAAAATAGGTAAAGAACTGGTTCTTTTTGGCTTGCACATATTCCCTCAAAGCCCTCGGACTTCAAATTTTTGTTTCCTGGTCCAATTATGGATAGGTTGCCCATTACTAGTTACCAACATTTTCCCTGCCTTTATAGTAAAAATAATTGGTCCCAGTTACCTAATGTACCCCTCTTCATCTACCTATATGTATTTATATCCTTAATGGTAAATCACAGGGGATAACTGTTAGTCAGACTGTTCTATTAATTTACCAATTTTCAACCAACTATTCGTACAAAATTCGTAAGGACAAATTTAGTAATTCTAACCCTAATTGCCTGAAGTTTTGGTTAAGGCATGTTTTGGTCAGGAATCGGGCCAAGTTTTACCATTTATATTTAAGTGATGTACTTTAAGGTCTAACTTACTACAATATTGGTCTTGTAAGTCGATGCGGTTATATAGAGGTCGAATTTACCACCTCATTTAGACTAACAGGTCCTTTGGACTTATTTAGAATTTAAAGTTATAGTAAATTTAAAAGTAAACTACGTACACGTCATCAATAAAACAAAAATTTTACGCATTGGTACCAACACTAAATGACTAAATCGGAGTCTGTAATTGAATATTTGAATGCATTTTAACCAAATTAAGTTGGCAACAATTGTGATGTTGTCATGTTTACATTCAAATTTTTCATATTTAAATGACACATAAAAAAGAATTTGACGTTTTAGAATTTCGAAGCTGTCAGTTGTGTTTTTGAATATTTCATTTAATTCGTGTATTATTTCGTTTATTTTGTTTGTTGTTTGTGTTATTTTATATCGTTTAAGTTTTCATTGCCGTTTTTGTGTTTGTTATATATCGTTTTTTTGTGTTTCCTATATTTAAAATGCCGAAGCATTTAAATAGTCGGAGTCAAGAGTTGGTGTCATCCTTAATACGCTATTTTGAGGCAGAACGGGATAATAATGGACCTTTGTTACCTTTAACAGCTGTTAGAGAGGTAAATAGGATTATTATTAATTATATATTAGAATATTTAACAAAATATATGTTGGATACATGAAATAATAATATATATACCAGAGACTGACTTTAGATGGCAAAATTTTTGGGTTTTATATCAGAAAATGTCTTTAAAAATGGCTAAAAACATACTACGGTGCATCATATAGGTTATAAAAACTCAGACTTTTGACATTTGTGGTATTATTCATGTAAACGCCATCTATCGCCCTGTAGTTGCACTACCACTTTCCCTTGATGCAAGGATTTTAGCATCACATTGACAACCGTGCCCGATCAGCTGATTGATGACGTGTACGTAGTTTACTTTTAAATTTACTATAGTTCTGTTTTTGTTGTTGTGAGCGCTGGAACTAGCATGATGTCGCGAAAGTGTTTTAAGCCGTACAGGCTGACCACTAGCTATTATCGCAAGTTGAAAAAATGTTTAATATTACTAAAAGGAAATGTTAATAATGCTGTAAACTTATCCAGTGTTTCAACCGGTCCACTTACTATCAAGAAATCAGTTTGTACGGAAAATATTTTTTGTGAAAACACATCGGAACACTTTTAACGAAGGGCAAATTGATTTAATCCCTTGCGAAGATAATTTTAGCAAAAGGAAGAAGAACTGTTAGGCAAAAAGCTTTCTCTAATAGAAGAATTAACTAATTGGGCGTTGTCTCATAAAATAAACCTAGATGCCACAACGCATTTGTTGAATATTCTTAGAGGTTGTGTTCTTGATTTGCCTAAAGACGGCAGAACCCTACTAAAAACATCATCATTAATTCACGTTACCATCTTCTTCCCACTTAAGTGGAATAAAACTGTATTCCACAGTACACTTGTTCATTCTTTTATTTATTATAGCAACTATTTTAAAATAGTCTCCCATTGTTAACTATACACACGAGCAACCTTCTCCCAGATAGCACAAGATAACCCACAGACGTCCTATTTAGGTAATTCTCGGCTTAGCCAGACCGAACAGGTCTGGGACATCCATAGAACGTCAAGTCTAGACCCTGTCCGGCTTAGCCTGATTAGGCGTATTTTGGACGTCCAAAGTAAGCCAAATAAGGCTTAGCCGGACCAGGTCTATAATTGACGTTCTATGGATGTCCCAGACCCGTTCGGCCTGGCTAAGTCGAGAATTACCTAGATTGGACGTTCCTGCTCACACAGCACAGGATGTCCAAATGACGTCCATTGGACATACTTTGGACATCTTGTACTATGTGGGTGCACCCATATGGGCTATCATGCCTAAACTTTTCGTTCAAGAAATTTCGGATATGTAATAAATTGTGGGTAATATTAAATATCATGTACAAATTATATAAACCACCTATTTTTATTAGGTTTCTCTTTTGCCTTCTTTGGATGTTCGTGGGACAGTCTGAGGGTGTCACAGAGAGTCAATCAAATCGATTAGCCTTATTATAAGAAAGATTAATTTACAAAAAAATTAAGTTTATTATTGAATATAGGTAGTTTATAATACATATTCGTACTATTCGTCGGGATTTATACATTTATATTTAATTTAAAATTTCTTTTTAATTTAAAATTTCTTGTTATCACGTAAAGGTAGTAAAATCCATTATTGCATCATTTTTAAATTCAATTAAATTCTATTACCATTGATTAATAAGTTCACTACTTCTTTACTCAACGCTATTACGTTTAAATGTATAAAAACGCCGTTATTATAACGTATAGTTTTAAATTTTAAACATCGGTCTTCTTCGGGTAGAACCGAACGGGTTCGTGACGACGCTTCCCATAATCCGTTGCAATGGCGTTCTTTTGCTGTGTGATGGCGTTTATGGCGGTGTTTCTACATTGTGTGTTGTGAATCACAACTTGTGATTTCTACTAGGTATTGGCTGTTTATAGACTTGTAATAGAATAAATTCAAGTAAGTAATTAGATTAGGTTTGTTTTGACTAATAGACTGTACCACACAAACAAAATTTACGGTTGCACTGATAATTGGGCGTAAACAAATCGTGAAAACAAGGATTTAAAAAAAATATTTTATAAAAACACATTTTTATTGTTTTTACTTTCCAAGGGATTTCTTTCTATACTTTCTAAATTTTATTTTATCCTCCCAAAGCCCTACATCAAAATTTTACAACAACCAAACTACAAAGTGAGGTTATCATTTTTATTGTTATCTAGAAAAGCTTTTATTTATTTAATATCTAAAAAAGCTTTTATTCCTATTTAACCGTGAATTTTTTTATGTGGTGCTCATGAGCTCATATACCGTTCCTTCATTTGGAAGCTATACATGGCCTATGTCATAGGGAAAATACATTGTAGGTGGACTAGACAAGTTGAAGTCAGCGCAAAGCAAGGAATGTCTGAATTTCGAATTTACCGGCAGTGGACGTCCAATGGATGTCATTTGGACACTGAGATGTCCAGGGGATATCCTTTGGACGTCCTCTGGACATTTGTGCTGTAATTATAATATAGGTGAATAAAAATGTTTGGTTAAAAATTTTAGGTGTTTTAGTTTTTATTCCTGTCAGCCAAATTATGGCCAAATTTGGTCCTAGGACAGTCTTTAATAGACCATTATAGGACGGCCAAAGGACAACCAAAAGTGTCTACTTTGGAAGTCCTACGGACGTCCATTCGTGGTCTTCGGATATCCGTAGGACGTCCACTATGTCCTGGGTTGACGTCCTAAGGATATCCAGTGGACGTATGTGTGCTATCTGGGCTTTATCTCTGCGAGCAACTAGGCGTGCTACAGCTGTTGACAGTTTTATTATACGCATGCGCAATTATGATAATGGCCTACAAAGTCGAAATCTGGGCACTAATTTACTTTATGGTTGAAAATAGGGCATTTATGGTTAAAAATAGGGCATTATTGTGCAATTGCTAATTTACCTCACAATATTTATTCCCTTGTTAAGACATATCGACTACATAGGCAGTAATTTAGGTTATTTTAACTGAACATTATGGAAATTTATTTTACAGGTCCAAATTATAGGGAAATTATGTTTTTAAGTTCAATACGTCGAAATCGCCATCTTTTCTGATAACCAAAACAGTTTACACCAAAGTATTAAAGGAAAAAATAATTTTATCTTTTTGAGATTTTTTTCTGAAATTGGGCTCTATACAACTTAAAAAAACTAACGAACTGAAAAACCACCTTTTCAGCGCTCCATAAAATAAAATAAGGAAAATTCCAAATTGACAAAAATTTTAAAAAAATGTTTTTCTTAAGTATTTTCAAGGGCGCTTCTGTTATTTAGCGCTACAGTAAGGATATTTGACAACAAAATTCAACTCGCCCATTAATTTAGCCCTTAGGTAACTCAAAATACCCATTTTAAAAATGGACTTTAAAGATATATTTATGGTCCTAATAGTGTTTGTTAACTTGTACCTATATTTTTAGCATTATTTTGACAGAGATAAAATAGCGGAGAGTGGGATCGAACTAAAAGGACTTACAGGTTGATAATTGGTTATAGATTACCACTATTTTACGTCACAGCAACTTAAAATTGGGCAGCTTTGCAATAACAGTCTTGGTCACAATGCCTTCTTCTACTTCCAAAATACCTTAAATTTACTAACTTTTTATTCCCCACTTACGAAAATATTACGTAACTGTAACGTAAATTTGCTTTTAACAGGGATGGTAATAAATGGTCGATTGCCTTACAGGGGGTCGAAAATAGGTTATTTCGACCAAAATTGTGCGGCCATAGAAATAATACTCTGGAGTATTATTTCTATGGCTACGGCCATAGACATCTCTATGGCTACGGCGCTTTGGTTGGCCGCACTCAATTTTGTATAAAGCGGATACTATATTTTTGCTTAGAATTGCAGAGGACATGTTCGCTTTGATTCTAAAGAAGGTACTTATGTATTTTAAGTAGGATCTAATTTTATTAATAAGTTTAAAATTACCAGACATATTTTGTAACAAAATTTTAAAGAAGTCTACTTATTAAAAAAAAAATTCTTGATTATTAAAGAAAACGTACTGAATTAAAATGTAAGTTTGACCAATAAAATATTAACTTTAACGCCAATGGTGGTACCTACTTGCGAGATAGGGGCAGAGAAGTCATAGCCCAATATGTTTTTTTGCTCATTTCTGTGAATTAACGTTTTTTTTAATAGTTTTTTATGTTTGGATATTTAAGCTTTAATAATAAAAAGTGTTATGTTTATCTAGTTTCAGAGTTTTAATAAGCACAAACGAATCCCGCTACATAATTGGCTACCTAACGTGTGTCCAAAATAATGCGTCTAATGATCACGTTTGCAAAATACAAAAATGAATGATTGTGACATTTTGTGTGGTTTATTAATAAATTAATCACATACTTCCACACGGTGTGAGAGTATGTGTAATTAATAAAAAATTGAGACATCTTGTGTAGTAGGTGATCAAACATTTATGGAAGAGTACTGTACACTGTACAGTGGTAAAAAGCCGCGCTATGGTTGACGCTGTGTTTGTGCTATTCTCCCATAGATAGAGCTGTTGTACAAATTAGTTATTTTTACGACATTTTATCGAGTAATAATAATAATAATAATATATTTATTAGTCCAAAAGACAATTTTAAAATTGTATAAGACATGTCAAAAGATAAAAATACAAAGTATTATAACATCAATTATAAAGACATTTACAAAAGGATATAAAGACATTTACAAAAATGTAATACTATATATTATTTATTTAAAAATTTTACAAATTTATCTATACCATAAAAATTATTTTCCTGAAGCATTGCCAAGATCTTCTTTTTAAATTGGGTATAACTGTTTATTTGTTTGACTTCTTCTGGTATTGCATTGAAGAACTTCTGACCCTGGTAGCCTGGTGAATTCTTAAATATGTCAACTCTGGACCGCGGCAGATAAAAGTTGTATTTTTGCCTGGTGTTATGGCTATGAACTTTATTGTTGACGTTATATGTATTTCTTAAACCATAAACAAATTTAAGAATTTCAAGAATGTATACGGAGTATTATGTATTATGTTTCTTTCGTTATCAATAAGGAAAAATCCTTATAATAATAATAACTTTATTAACGGTATGACCAATTTACAATATATATACAAAAATACAATACAACACAATGTAAACAAATGACGCGTTTCCCGGAAAAACATCATTAGTCCAAAATTAACATATTGACCTATTTACTACATGTAAAAAAATGTAAGATACTTTGTCCAGAATTCCTCATGTTTTTTTTTTCGACGAATATGAAAAAAACACAAAAATACATGAACATGTGAGGTTTTTAGAAGAAAAAAACGAACAATTCTCCTTACTACAAACACTACAAACTAAATATTAACTCTGAGTAACAAAATAAATAAAAACTGAATTACTGCCACACTCAGTCTTCGCATCCAACAGCAGTACATCATCGTTGTCGACCGTGTTATCAGGAATGTCAGGTGCTATGGTCTTCTGGTCTTTTATCAAGTTATCATAAAATTTTCTATTGCTGTGGTCATGTAAAAGAGGTAGAAGCTTTTCTAGAGTGTCCAAAAACGTCACATGTTATGCACATGTGACTTTCTTAGACAAAACGGAGTGGACTTGTGATGTTTTTGAAGAACAAGCTAAATTTCATATTTAATTATTATGGAACCTATGACATTTTTACGAGAAACACTTATTTGTATACGTATATATTAGGGTGAGCCAAAAAAACTAACCTATCGGATTTATGGGTTAAAATGAACCTACATACCGAGCAAAAAATTTCCCTGCAAGGCAAAATTTTTTGCTCAATTTTAAAAGGTGTCGGTGGGCATTCTAAGTTTTCCATTGACATAACACGTAAAAAAATCTTTTTTCATTAAAAAGACTTTTGAACCGTTTGAGATAAAATTTTTTACGTCGCGGATTCTTGTAGAGCATAAATTTTCCCAAAGAATCTATACTAGGATTATTTTTTTTAATTAACAAATTCGTATGTTTGAAAGCTTTGAAAAGTGGAAAAAATCACTACAAACTGCAGTTTTAGTGATTTTTTACACTCTTCAAAGCTTTCAAACATACGAATTTTTGAATTAAAAAAATAATTATGGTATAGATTCTTTGGGAAATTTTATGCTCTACAAGAATCCGCGACGTAAAAAATTTTATCTCAAACGGTTCAAAAGTTATAGTCTTTTTAATGAAAAAAGATTTTTTTACGTGTTATTTCAATGGAAAACTTAGAATGCTCACCGACACCTTTTAAAATTGAGCAAAAAATTTTGCCTTGCAGGGAAATTTTTTGCTCGGTATGTAGGTTCATTTTAACCCATAAATCCGATAGGTTAGTTTTTTTGGCTCACCCTAGTATATATGGACGACGATATTGGACTAATGATGTTTTTCCGAGAAATGCAATATATAAACACGTATAAATATATTACGACACGTTAAAATTTAATTTTGAGCTTATGTTTAAATGTCCGCAAAGAATCATTAAAAAAAGTCTATTTCTAGCTTATTCGCATTCGCACATATTCGATTTAGTGGCATAAATCTAGCATAGTCTGTTCTTTGCATTTTTAAGTAAAACAAATTCTTTTGTCTCGTTAGCCTTTGAGGAACATTAAAATGTATCATTTGAAGCAGCTCAGGACTGTTTATTAAATTATTTAAAAGTTTATACAGAAAAACCAGACCATGTTCAGTTCTTCTAACAGAAAGTAATTTTATGTTAATTAAATCTGTCATAAACATATAGTCTAGGTTTTCTGTACTCACATTTAACTTATATTATAAGCACAAAAACGAAGGAATTTGTTCTGAACTTTTTCAATTTTGTTTTCCAAATTTGAAAAATGTGAACACCAACAAAACAACAATATTCCAGGATGCTACGTACAAAGAACATATACATTTTTTATACAATAAATATTGTTAAAATCTCTTAAGCTACGTTTTAGAAAACCCAGCATTTTTAGAGATCTGTTAACCATTTGATCAATGTGTCAATAAGAAATTTCTCTTAGCGACACGCTGCGCATGACTACCCTTGGGATTGTTATCCTTGGCCGTTAATTCGTAGGCGATTTTTAATTTTAAAAAATCAGTAGTTTACCCCAAAGATAATGGGGGTATTATCTTTGGTTTACTTCTCGCATTTTATCGTTGCATACGAAATCTGTCAACTTTTTCAATGCAGTTTTGTGTTGTTGGCTGAAGACATAGGTCACTGATGAAAGAGTATTGAAACATAAATGACTTCCTTTCTTGAGGGGACAACATAAAATTCCCACCACAATAAAACGCTGGTCAGTACCATAGATTAATAGATTAATTGATTCCTGAATGTATTCCACGATGGATGGTTAAAATAATTAAAGAAAATCTGTGCATACAGCCATTCGCAATGGTGCATGGTTGTAACTACAAGATGAAGATTGAACAATAAAAAATGTATACATGAAAAACAAACTGGTACAAAGTATTTTATGGTTAAGAAAAATTATATGGATGATTGTAAAAGACTTTGTACTCAGATTCTCTCAATTGAGACCCTTGATCAAATTAAATTTTCAAAAAACATAATGATCTGGTCAAATAGCTTTTAATTGAGCTAAATGCCATTATACCTGAACACATTGCTTCTGTGTTCAGATTAAAAAAGAAGAAGAACTTTTTCAATAAACTGAAAGATGGTAAAAATAACTATGGGAGAGCAGTGTAAGGCGAGGCCAATGGGCCAGCCGTACGTTCTTATACTCATACTCATAATAATTGTTAGGCACTCCAATAAAATAAACCTAAGCCTTTAAAAATCGATTTATGGATTATGATTGTTATAGATCAATTAAAAACTGCTTTTTAATTATCTTCAAATATTTTGCATGTAACAATGTTTTAAACATTCTCCGATTATGCTGCCGTTTGCGCTCGCCTGTTCTTTACTCCAAAATTATATTGTGATCGTTAAAAAAGTTTGGAATACACCAAAATCAGCTCGAGTGAAAAGTTTGTTACACAAGCCGAAGGCAAGTTTGGGGTGTTTTAGACTAAAGGTATAAAAATTACAAAAGATAAATAAATAAAAAGTTAGTTTGCAACTACCAGATTGGTTGAAATTATTCTCACACTGAAACTGGTGATGGAATTACATACATGATTTTTCTTAAATATTTTGTATGTAACGCGTTAAAAACTCCGTTGTGCTAAGGTGGCTTGTTCTTTCCTTTCTCCTCTAAAATTGGCGCTGGGAAGCTTTGTCCCTTTTCTCGGAACGCGTCAAAAATATTGCAAACGCCTCATTAATATAAAAAAATGTTTTAATTGCAGATTGGACATAAAATTATGGAATATTCGGCAAAATCAAATTTAAAGAGTGTAAACCTCGAACTTGGAGGAAAAAGCCCTTTGGTTATTTTTGATGACGCAAACCGTAAGTGCTAAAAAATTTCATGAAGAAAGTAATTGACTCATTTTTTCTAGTTGATGAGGCCGTTGAAATTGCATACAACGCGATTTTTTCCAACCAAGGCCAAAACTGCTGCGCTGGTTCAAGAACTTTTGTTCAAACCGCCATTTATGATGAATTTGTAAGAAGGGCTGCTGAAAAGGCCAGAGCCAGAAAAGTTGGCGATCCGTTAAAATCTGGAACTCAGCAAGGACCACAAGTAAAGTACCTTCAAGATTTTATATGAAGTTATAAAGTTTTTATTTTTCTTTCAAATTTAATCACCTCATAATACTGTAACGTGTCTGCCGTTTTACTGAAGAAAGTTAAATGTCAAGCTTAAAATCGTTTAAAACCTGTCCTAAAACATTATTTTATCATGATATAGGGGTAAAAAGCATAGAAACGCTAAAAATTTCTTCCCAATTTAGACTATAATCCAAAACTAGTAGATAAACATATCGACAGTCGCAGTTTATGTTATATTATTACACTGTATAATGATGCTAATAAACAATTTTATAGAAATCGCTTGGCTAATCGCGCTTAATATCTTGGTAAAAGAGTGTGATCAGACTTTTAAAATTTAAATTGAAAAGACGAAGGAGCTAAGTGGTAATTTTCCTTAAGATTCTATATTTTTATAAAGAAAGTCTTATCGGCAGGACCAAAGGTAACAAAGTTAGGATATATTTGTTACCTTTGGTCCTCAATTATTAAATCCACAGGATGTGGGAAGTAATCAGATAAAACTTTTTGACAGAAAATGTTAGTCAAATTATAATAACCTAATTTTTTCGTGTGCAGTGTGGCAAAAAGCGAAACCCTGTTAAAATCACATTTAAGATATTTGTGAAAAAAAATCAAATATAGCATCCAAAAAAAATCTTCTGAAATTTGGAATCAATCAAGAAATTTAATTTAAATGCTGTTAAATTTCTGTTTTTCTCGAGGCACTCTTTAGATACTTCTTTTGTACTTTTGTTCCTCATGTATTATTTAAAAAAATCATAATATTAAAATATTTCAGGTAGATAAACCATCACTGGACAAAATTTTAAGATTGGTAGAATCGGGAATCAAAGAAGGCGCCAAATTGGAAGCAGGGGGAAAACAAGTTGGAAATGTTGGATATTTTGTGGAACCAACTGTTTTCTCCAATGTTAAAGATGATATGTCAATTGCCAAAGAAGAAGTTTGTGCATATATTCTTAAAATTAAAAAAAAAATATGAACTAATCAATTTTTAGATATTTGGACCGGTCCAATGCATACTTAAATTTAACACTATGGAAGAAGTCATAGAAAGAGCTAATAATACCCAATATGGACTTGCTTCTGGTGTTATAACCAATAATATTAATAATGCTATGGTGTTTGCACAAGCTGTTGAAGCAGGATCTGTATGGTAATATTTATTAACAAAAATTGCAATAGAAAAACCCAATATTTTTTACTTTAGGATAAATTGTTATGCTCCTATATCACCACAGACTCCATTCGGCGGTTTCAAAATGTCAGGACTTGGAAGAGATTTGTAAGCTTTTAATCAAAATAGAGTATACAAGTAATTTAAATTTGTATTGTTATAGGGGAGCAGATTCATTATCTGGTTACTTGGAAACCAAGACAATTTCCATTAAATTACCGTGCAAAAACTAAACAAAACAATTGCATTTTTAATAGTAGTATTATTATAATAACCAATAAGTTAGGTAACTACTTCAAATGTAATAAAATATATATTCTATAAACATTTTTTTGTAATTTATAAAATCCCCACACTATTGAGTACCCTACATAGAATTATCAGGGCCGAGCCAACCCAGGGTGCAAAGGGTGCACTGCGCCCGGGCGGCAACTATCGAGGGGCGGCATATTAGAAAATATTTGTACAGAAAGTGACGGTAAACTTTTTAATATTGTAATTGATTCTGATCCAAGTGCATGGCCTACACCTTTATCTGACAAAATAAGGTTAATGCTAGTAGAAAAGAAAACAACTTATCCCAAAGACGCTAGCACTAGAGGTTATTGAAATAAATATTTTTTAAAAACTTTACCAAATGGTGAATCCGTTCAACGCACTTGGATATTCTAAAAAATATACTCTGTGTTTTGTTTCCCATGTAAGTTATTTGGGAATGCATCTAGTTCTTTGGGGCTAGATGGATTTCGAGATTGGCAACATTTATCGCGAACCTTAAGCCGACATGAAAGTTCTAATGATCATATTAAATGTTGCAACAAAATGATTCAATTACAAACTTCATTAAAGTGTGGCTTAACAATAGATTATTTACAGGAAAAACTAATTAAAAGTGAACAGAAAAGATGGTGTTTTAGAAAGAATTATATCGGTTGTTAAATTTTTAGCCAAGCAAAACCTAGCATTTAGGGGTAGTTCTAGTAAATTATTTTGTAATGTTACACGTTACACGTTCAACTCGCAGCAGAGCAGCAACAGCGGCCCAGCAGATAAGACCTGAAGATGGTACATGAGATTGTACCGAAACGTCGTCAAACATATGGTTCTTTTAAGAACCAAAAACCGACAACACGGAGTAGATCCCGAAAAATCACTAATACATACATAATAATTTTATTAAGGTAAAATAGTGTTTTTAAGATTTTTTTTCCTTTAGGGGCGGCAAGCTTTTAATTGCACCCGGCGGCAAAAACACTTGGTGCGGCCCTGAGAATTATAAATGCATTTCACCACCTTAATCCAATGCAAATTATCAACAATATTTGAAGCATACTGACAATAAAACTTGACCGCCTAACAGTTTATAAAATTAATACAAAATAATGCTCAGTTAACGAGGTAGGGAATATAACATATAGCCAGTCAACAATCTGCCGCGATTGTGCGTGTACGTATTTTTTATAAGCATCATACATTGTAAAATATGGCATCTGTCAACATAAGATTCACCAAGGTAAGTTGGCTTTATTATTCGTTAAAATTGTAAAACTACTGAAATTAATAATTTAAAAATTTGTGATATTTTAGTATTATTAGCAGTTTAAAAATAGGTTAGATAAATGAAACCTCTGACGCACGTTTATTTAAACTTTTTAATAGGTGAGATAAAAATTTGCATCGATCGGTAAAACAATACAAATTTAATTATTTATCTTAGTTTATTTAATATTGGATAATTTTTGACCTTGTCACTAATCATTTGCAACTAAAAAAAATTGGACATTTATTTTTGTGGAGTAAATACTAATTATAATTATTATAATTACTACCAAGGTTGGACCTAGCGTTTTGACAAAAACAAAAAATTGATATTTATTAGTTTTAAAAGCTTTGCACAATAAACTTATAATAATATAAGTTGCTTCGTTTAACAGCTACTGAGGTTAGTTTGTAAAAAAATGCGTTAAATAAACTTAAACCTAAAACCGATTAATAGATTTTGCCAATTAGTAATTTAAGTTTATTTAATATTTAGCATAATTGGACATTTTTTAAAAAATTAAATTATAAAATTATAAATTATATTTCTAATGAAAATCTCATACAGTGATATGGCGGGCCGTTTTATCATTTATTAGATAAATTGTTCAAAATTTGCTATTTTAAATATGTAATGTATAATCCCGAAATTGGAGAATCAGTTGTGTTTTAAGATATTTTTGGAAATTCTAACAATTTTAATTAAGATAATATTTTAAATAAACTGATAGGTACCATGGGCGCCGCTGCATAGGGGCAGGGGGCGGTCCCCCCTGGCATTGGCTACAGGGGGGCCTAGGGGGGCCGCCCCCCCAGATATAGCTGGGCCCCCCTCAGGAGAAGGCTGACTTTAATCTGTAACAATTTTTTGTTATTACCAAATTTGCAATAGAAATATGTATGTACCTATCATTTACATATCTTAGGTTGTATTTTATCAACTTATCAAAATACGAGTAGGTACCTATTTTAAAACCGCCCGTGCAAGCTCGCAACTAGCAATCAGGGCTAGATGCTCTCGTGGACGAGTTTTGGTTCGTGCCGCGCATGACGTCACTTGATGAGTAGTTGCCGTGCGAATACACCAATAATAGTAATATTATCAAAGAAAATAGAGAAATATCTGCGTTTTTATTAAACTTAATATTAAAGAAAGTGTTATAATATGGATATATCCATATATCTATTATAATAGATTCTTTTAGTCCTTGATAACATTTAGGACTGTTGGTTAAGATTTGGCGTTTTAAATTAAACTTATAGTCACTGTCCAGAAAATGTTTAGAGGAAACAGAAGCGGTCTTAACGTTAATATTGTCTATTCTTTTTATGGGATTTAACCACTGTTTGCACAAATCAAAGTTTTTCGAGAATCGTTGAAATTTAATGTTTTTATTTAAAGAGCTTTTCTTGGACTGGTTGTCCGAATTGCATACAAATATGCCACACCGCATTTTAATAAATGCAAATGGCACGACACAAACTAAAACACAAACAAAACAAGTTAAGACAACACAGAAACAATAATAAACAGGTTAACACAACGCAATAACAATGATTTGAAGTGTAAAGTACTCAACAAGTGACGTATTTAAGTCCCGCCCAACATGCGCACATACACTTAAGGTGTATGTATCTTGCTAGCAATTGTATCTTTTCATAACAACAAACGGTCATGCGCGGTACAAACGGTCATTAATTATATTTGGACACGTCCTTAAGATCACATTGTAGTACTTACCCCCTTTCTCACTAGAACTGTTTGTTCAAAAAAATTGTTATTTGTGCCTTTTGGAGACATTAGTCACAATAACAGGCCCACCCTAGCCCCCCCCCCCCCCGGGTCAGATGGCTAGTTACGCCAATGCCCCCTGGGAATTTATACCCAGAAATTCCGGTACTCTATAATTTGACGGTAAGTGCTGATCGTTATCATTTGTTCATTATATTTTAATTTATTATAATTTGTATAGCCACGGCGTTCTCTATTATAGAGAATAGAGAACGCCGTGGTATAGCGTATACATAAGACGGCTGTACTACTAGAGGAGATTCCTCGGCGATATAATTTTTTTATATTTATATATTTACCAAAAAACTTTGATGTATTTTTTGGAATATGTACCAATATAAATAAATACATATAAAGATGATATTTTATTTGACTTAAGTTTAATGTGAACTTCTAAAGTACAACTTGATTATAAATAACATCTATCAAAATTGTAAAAAAAATTAAAATGAAAATTTTTTTTCCTTGGGAATCATCTAAATTATTTGTATACAGTCTAAAAACAATTTCTAAAAAAAATCTCATGTCGTTTAACCCTGCCTAAATCACAATACTTTTAATTTTCATTTAATTCCAGCTTTGACCTCCAATACTATTTAAATGGATAAAACATATTTTATATAATGTTATACAAAAATATCTCTTTATTGGTGCATGTCTATTTATTAGCGAGTTAGATTTATTGTCACTAAAATGTCGGACTGCCAATCGGTATATGTTGCTGCTTCTGTTTCAATGACTAAATATTATTGATTATTAATCATACAACAAGTGCTATTAATGGAGAAAATCTTAGGATATAATGAATAATGAAAAATATCATAATCCTTAGCAACGTGTAAACAAGGTGATACAAAATATTGACGCTATAAAAAATGCGTAACTATGATTTCATGGCATTTTATTTGTTCTAACATTAATAAATTGTATTGTCTCAAAAATAAACTTTAAAATTGTCAAAATTTATTTAAGCGGTTTCAAGTTAGTACCTACAAAAAATGGTACTTAGTATATTTCTTATTACAAATAAAAGTTTAAGAGGATATACTAAAACTTATTATTACTTATCAAATTATTGATTCAGTAAATAATACTAATATAATAATATATAATAATTATATATTACATTAGGTATAAAATTAATTGTACCTATGTTTAATCGTTAATTTAGAAAGAATATGGTTCTAAATCTTTTTTGCATTACACACATTTGGGTTGGTCAGAGCCAAACAATGTCAGTATTTACCTACATTGCAAATTATTTTTATCACAATAGATAAAGTAGATTGCTTCACAGGCGGAGTTCAGGTTCGCTGCCAAGACTTTAGCCGAGCCTGCAGATCTGAGAGAGGCAGTTAAAATGCTTTCTCTGCCGTGTTGTATATACTGTTTTTTTTTCAAGCGTTTAATTATTCTGTACTTGGGTCATTCCACGATACTCGGGGATTTTTGTCCCGCCCGTCAAAATTAAAAATTGTGTGTAAAAACTATAAGTAAGTTATAAAATTTATTTTAAAATATTGTTTATTATGCTTGTAATAAGTTTATAAGCACAATACAAATATTATTATAAAATATTAATTTAATAACTGGTGGTTTTTACTCACAATTTTTAATTGTGACAGGCGGGACAAAAATTAACGAGTAACGTGGAATGCCCCACTTACATTATAGAGTTTGCGATATTTTGTTAGGTTTGACGTTTGACATTTAATATTATATATAACCTATAGGTTATGTAGGTACATGCATTTTTTCTATAGTGACCTGTAATTTTACATTCTTTGCTGATGTCATGCTAAACGCGATAGATGAAACCACTCCTATGTTTTTTTATTATTTTACGGCGTTGTAAAATAATTTTACTTTTTCACTGCATACAAAAATGAAGTCTTTCTATACCTATGAGTTTTATAATATGAAAATTGTTATACCCTTTAAAAAAATTACTTATTACAAGACAGAGTACAGTGACGTAGGCTGCGCAAAGAACCGATTTCTGTCAAGACCGCTACTGGAAGAAAGAATTGCCGAGGCGTAAGAGAGAAAGACAATTATGTTTGCACCGAAAGTCATGAAGTCACTGTACTCTTTACTAATAAATTGAACTCTACCTTATTCGAGGCCAAGGAATTCAGTGGTGACAACAGTTTTTCTACGTTGGCTTATGACTTCATACATATTTTTTTTTAAATTTTTATACATATACTTGAGTAATTACCATGGTAAGTGTATTCAAATTTCACCGTATTGCAAAATAAATGCCAGATTCAGTTTTTTCGTACCAAAAAACTTGCCAATACAAATTTTTAATAGCCATCGAGTAAAAACACATTATTCCCAAATAATTATTCGGAATTAGGTAAGAATGAAGAGTTTCCAAGCGCGTCGCGACATTTGGAAAATTTTGTTAAAAAAAACCAGTACAGTAGTATTAATAATAATAGAAGTAACACCAATAATAAAAAAATAGGAAAATAATATTAAAAAAAAAAACAAATGTTGTGTCTTGTTAATGATAAAAACAACCTTTTTTTAAGCTTTTTGTCAACAATGAATTCGTGGATTCCTTTAGTGGAAAAACATTCCCCACTCACAACCCCGCCACTGAACAAAAAATTGCCGATGTATCTGAAGCAGATAAGGCTGATGTGGATTTGGCAGTTAAGGCTGCAAAAGCTGCATTCGCCAGAGGATCAGAATGGAGAAACATGGATGCATCTGCCAGGGCAAAACTTATTAACAAAGTAATTAAAATATTATAATTTTAAACAAAAATTATTATTTTCAGGTTATAGCCTTAGTTTAACAAAAAATTGATTTATACATTGCCTTCCTTTCTTCCTCGCTTCCTCCCGTAAAAGATGAAAAATACGAAAACCGTAGTGCTGTTTATAGATTTCCGTACGCTAAGAATGCCCTTCCTTCCTCCCGTAGAAATTATTAAGTTTTATCTTTTAAAGGTCTCATGTCAAACTAATCACAGTACTTAATATAGACATGCGCTATAAGGCTATGGCACGCAGATATTTAATACAATACGTATTATTATTAAGAAAAGGTACCTTTTACCTAGGTATAGGCACATGTTAGTTTAAATAAAGTTGTTAAGCTATATTTTGTTTTTTAAGAAATATATTAAAAAATGCCAGGTAAATAAACATTCAATTTTCTTAATTTCTTTAAGAAACTTTCTTGACCCATTACTGGTTATTTCCACCTTCTTAGTAAATGAAATAATAATTATTATTATTAATATTAAATTTCATTTACTAAGAAGTTGGAAATAACCAGTAATGGGTCAAGAAATATTGTGTTAACTTTGTCAAATAATGCTCCATTTTATAATTCCTCCCTTTTTGGCGCCCCTGTTATGAAGCATAAGGCGGCGCCCCACTTGCCTTAACCTCGGTACGCTTCTGGAATAAACTATTTTATTGGGGTTAATTTAGCTTGCAGATCTAATTGATAGGGATGCTAAAAGTCTGGCAGCTTTAGAATCACTAGATAATGGTAAACCTTTGGAAGATGCCGTCCTAGAAATGTTAGGCTCAGCTGACGTTCTTCGATATTATGCTGGATTTTGCGATAAAATACATGGAAACACAATTCCTTCTGGTAAGGCGTTTTTGTCAAAATAAATAAATTTTATAAAATTAATTAAAAAAGCTATACATTTTTAAAAACTTTATACTTTATAATGTGCAGGCCCTGGAATAGCAATGCGAGTTGGAGAAACGCTGTGACCATGGTACTAAGACAACAGTCTTGTCTTGTCTTGTCTTAGTACCATGCCCTGAGACCAATTTCCTGAAATATTGCACGTTTCTTCCGACTCGACCTGTAAAAAAAGAAATACTAATGTTTAACAGGTTAACTGCCATGGTATAAATTCAAAAAATTTCTCCTGGTGCCATTGGTACTTTTAGGAGTGTTATTAATAGCAAATTCGCCAAATTCGTTATAGTATGAGTCATGAAACTCAAACTTGAAAGTGGGCTATCCAGCACTACCTCTGGTGCCCGGGCGGTACTATAGTACCGCCCGGGCATATATATATACACAAATTCCGCGTGACCGATGCAATGGCAGAGTGGGTTTAAAATTTGGGGTTTAAGCGGTCATTATGACCGCTGTGGCACTTCCAACTAGTATAGGAGCAGTCATGAATGCCCGCCGTGGCAGTCAACCTGTTAATATCTAATTTTAGTTTAAATTGATTATTTATTTATTGGAAAAAAATATTTTTAGATGGAAATCAATTTGCTATTACAAGAAAGGAACCAATCGGCGTGGTTGGTCAAATAATTCCATGGAACTATCCAGTTCCAATGGCCATCTGGAAATGGGGACCCGCCCTGGCAGCTGGTTGCACTATAGTTCTAAAACCTGCAGAACAAACACCATTAACAGCTTTGGAATTGGCTGCGTTGTCTAAAGAAGCTGGTTTTCCCAAAGGAGTCATAAATGTTCTAAATGGTTTTGGACCCACTTGTGGGGCTGCACTTGCTATGCATAATGATGTTAGAAAAATTTGTTTTACTGGTTCAACTGAGGTAAAAAGTGACTTATTTATTCAAATATAAATAATATATTACGTTTACCGATTTAAAAAATGTGGGAAGGTTTTTAAAAAGTATAAAAGTATTAAAATAAAGCTATCCTTGTTAACATTTTTCAGAAAATACAATACGTAATATTTATTAAATCGACAAATATTACTTTGTTTTCAAGCGTAAAATATTGTTCATATTATTACACTTGAGGAGGTTCATTTCAAAACTCGGTTTATCCACTTTTTAATAAAAATTAGTTGGTGTCTGTTCATTTAACATGTAACCCCCTATACCCTGAAAAGGTTATAAATTCTAAAACTCACCTTATTTCATTTAAAATTCATTTACAAATTGACTATCGTTCCAAAACTTGCCTTATCTATTGGTTATATCATGTCAGAACTCTGCATATCCATATGTAATTTTAAATTATTTGAAATTGGAGCTATACCTTTTTAATCAAGGTATATCACGGTGTCCCTGAATGACTTTTAATTGAAAGGTTCAGACGTATCCGATTTTTTTCATATTTTGATAAAAAATCACTTACAAGGCAATTTTTTTTCAGGATAAACTCAATTCGCTTGGCACTTTTTTAGAAAAATCAATTTTTATAAAAACATTATAATTAATGATTTTTAATTAATTTTTTGATATTTTTAATTAGTGAACTCCACATAATGAGTAACAGCTTTTAATGTATTTGTTACATAAAATGTGCAATTCATTAGACTAGTGAACTATTGACATATGTCACTTGTCACATGTCAAATGTCGAAATCGTGATTAAAAATACCGTTACGTGGTTTTACCGTTTTTTTTCAATTTGTCGCAGATTTATTTATAAATTAGATATAAATAATTATATTTGCATTGATTATACTCGGATAATCGCGAGAGAATTTGTTTGTTTTGTCTTAACAAAAAAAAAGAAAAAATGTCTAAAATATGTGAAAAGATTCTGGAAAAAGTTCAAAACATAGTAGTATATGATGTAGAAGATGAACGATTACCAAAAGTTGTAAGCAAAGGTTGTGAAATTTTATTTTATAAAGCAGCTAAACAAGAAATTTATAGAAACACGTTAAATTTACCTGATTTTTCTAATTGGAAATAATTGGGTATAATTTTATAAAAAGTGCTAAAAATAAACCCATTAAAAAAGAAAAAAGTGTGTGGTGAGAAAATGTTTCAAATGTTTGTCAAGTATTGTTGGTGGCCGCGGTAAAAACATAAATGTAAACCTGGAGTAAAAGTAGAAAATATTGAAAACAATATTAGTGAAACATCAGCAGCAGTTACTATCGCTCTTTCTTTTTTCTTTTTTTAAAAGCTGCGATAGTAAGTTACTATAAATAACTGCTGCTGATGTTTCGGACTTAAAGTTTCACTAATATCGTTTTTAATATTTTCAATCTTTACTCCAGGTTTACATTTATGTTTTTACCGCGGCCACCAACAATACTTGACAAACATTTGAAACATTTTCTCACCACACCCTTTTTTCTTTTTTAATGGGTTTATTTTTAGCACTTTTTATAAAATTATACCCAATTATTATAAGGCCTACTATTTCAGTTTTTAAGAGTAAATTTTTAAGAATTCATATTAGCGATTTTTTTTAACAAAATATAAAAACAATAAAAGTAGCTAAGGAAAACACTGTTTGGACATTTGCCTATCATAAATATTTTTGACGCCGTAAATACATCATTTTGCCTTACGTACGGCAGCGAAAGCAAATTAACTAGATAATTAAATGGATAAACCTTATCTGTGATCATCAATCGAACTGTCTGAATAAAAATGGTTTTCCACAAATAAAAAAATATAGCCCAATATAAAGTTTTTTGAGATGTTTTCGAATATTTTGTTATTAACTGGCACTTTATATAAATTAATTGCAGATTGGGCATAAAATATTGGAATATTCTGCAAAATCCAACTTAAAAAGCGTAAACCTCGAACTCGGAGGAAAAAGTCCTTTGGTTATTTTCGATGACGCAGATCGTAAGTATACTGGTATACTATAAAATTTTAAAAAAATAATTTTTAATGGTATGTTCTAGTTGATGAGGCCGTTAAAATTGCACACAACGCGATTTTCTCCAACCACGGCCAAAATTGTTGCGCTGGTTCAAGGACTTTTGTTCAAGCCGGCATTTATGATGAATTTGTTAAAAGGGCTGCCGAAATGGCAAGAGATAGAAAAGTTGGCGATCCTTTCAAATCTGGAACTCAACAAGGACCACAAGTAAAAAAAAAACTAGGTTTTACAGGATGGGACAAATGAACCTTCAATATTTTATTTGGAAATTTTATTATATATTTCTTTATCAAAATAGTTTAGTTGTAAAGCCCAAGACAAAAATAATTTTACATAAGAGGAGATTAAAGTTCACGTAGCATTGTCAGTGTTTAAGATGTTAATTAATATTAATTTTATTATACTTTTAAATTTAAAAATCTTTGCTTTTGCAGATAAAGCATTTATGCTTAGCTTATAAGCTTGGTTATGTTTGTTTATATAAAGCTCGTTCAGACTAAAACCGAATATATCTATATATATATATATATATATATATATATGGGGCGTGGCCTCGCCTCCCTCCAACGCGCGACACAGTAGCTAAGCAAATAGACTGCATCGCTAATGAGATTTTTTGCATTATTATCATTTAATTTTTTAAGTCCTTACCTGCTCGACCTTTCGTCATGTCGTTTATCACACAAGCAACTGTGACGCGCCTTGGAGGGAGGCGAGGCCACGCCCCATATATATATATATATATATAGATATATTCGGTTTTATTCTGAACAGGCTGTATGTATGTCAGACTGGCAGGCGCCGACTGTTAACGCTCGATTTAAGCCTCAAAAGTTGATCACGTGACTGTTTTGACGCTAAAAATTAGCTTTCAGCGTCAACTTGGAATGGAAACTTAAGAGGGGCGACTATAATGATCTTTAAAATTAGAACAAAGTGGGGTTAGAACCGTTTCACAGATTTTTTGTATTATCCATGGACATATTAAAAGTAGTAATCAACGATGAAAAGTGGACAAAACTGAATTTAAAAAATGGACTTATTTAATTATAAATAGATAAATAAAAGATCGCATATTTGTTTATTTAGAAACTGGTTTAAAAGAACCTAATTTTATTACCTTAAAAGGGAATAAGTTATTATCAATAAGGTAATTTTACCTGTGAATGGTTATTTTACCAGTAAAAGATTATTCCAGGCTCCTATATATCGTCATTATAACATAATATTCACTTCTACAGCTCAACGCAAAACAAATTGTATTTTAACACAAACACACAAAACAAACTTGTCGCTTTCAGGGAGGTTTCGGGGGTTCAAACCCCCTTCCTCCAAGGCTCAGAATTTTTAAACAAAAAAGTAAAGATATATTTTTTAATCACCAATCTTAAATTGTTTTTCGTCTCCCTCCATAAACATAACCCCCCTCCAGACAAAATTTCTGGGCACGTGCACTGGTTACTTCGAGGTTATATCCGGTTCAATTTTTTACACAAGAGGAGGCATTACGCGTCCACTGTTAATATGTCTATGGTATTATTTTTAGCAGAACTATGGCAAGGAAATGTCAAAAAATAATTAATAAATAAAACTTATTTTTACCTTTATGTTCTTCTTTGTTTAATTTGACTTTAAAAAAATCTTTAAACATTTTTACACCCCCTAGACATAATTAAAAACCCATATTTTGTTAAAATATTTTAGGTGGATAAACCATCACTGGACAAAATTTTAAGATTAGTGGAATCAGGAATCAAAGAAGGGGCCAAATTGGAAGCAGGTGGAAAAAAAATTGGAAATGTTGGATATTTTGTAGAACCAACTGTATTTTCCAATGTTAAAGATGATATGTCAATTGCCCAAGAAGAAGTCGGTGTATACAGTCTTAAACATTTAAAAAATATTAATTCATCAATTTTAGATTTTTGGACCCGTTCAATCCATACTCAAATTTAACACTTTGGAAGAAGTCATCGAAAGAGCTAATAATACACAATACGGACTTGCATCGGGTGTTATAACCAATAACATTAATAATGCCATGGTATTTGCACAAGCTGTAGAAGCTGGATCTGTATGGTAATACCAATAAACAAAATGTCAATAGAAATGCTCTATGTTTTTTATCTATCTTAGGGTTAACTGTTATGATGCTATAACACCACAGACTCCATTTGGAGGCTTCAAAATGTCAGGACTTGGACGGGATTTGTAAGTTTTATAAAAATAAAGATTTAATATTAATGTATGTTTTAGGGGAAAAGATTCTTTATCTGGTTACTTGGAAACAAAGACAATTTCTATTAAATTACCATGCAAAAATTAAACCAAAAATTTACCTATGTGCATTTATTTTACTTGTTAAATGTTAGGTTAGGTTAGGTAATATCGATTTAAAAAATATAATACCAAATATATTGTATAAACATTTTACTGGGTATTTAATTTATACAAATGCTAGTCTTTGAAATAACGTTATAAAAATAATAAATAGATTATACTTCCTAAATTGAGATTCATATACATATTTATTTTTCTAGTTCATTTCTTATATCCTCATAATTTTTATCTTTAGTTTCTGGAACTACCTTAATTACAAAAATAAAAGCTAAAAACGAAATTATTCCGTAAACTATAAACAAATAACTTATATGATTTAAAACTAAACTAAAAACCTTAATATTAAAAAACGTTAAAAACCACAACAAAAAAGTACAAATAGACATTGATCTACTCTTTACTTCGTTGGGAAATATTTCAGAGCAAATTACCCATTGTATTGGACCGATTCCCAATGAAAAAGCTATGTTAAAACAACAAAGAACTGCGAGAAAAACGTAATCAAATAAATCGGGTAATTTATCTTTAAAAGTGCTAGATTTAAACATAAGAAATATTCCGCTTAGTATTAATGCTATGGATATTACAAACTCAGATAAAATAAGTAATTTTTTTCTACCCCATTTGTCGACTACAAAAGTTTGTGAAAAACCTGCTAAAACTTGAAAAGTTGCAAAAATTATGCTACAAATGTTGGGCCCTAAAACGGTTTTAGTATTTGAAAAAGTTACTGAAAGATAGACTGTTAAAGGGTCAATGCCTGAAAATATTTTAAATAATGTTAGTGCCACGCCAATAATAGCTGCTTTTATTAAAGCTTTTTCACTAGTACATATTTTTAACGTTTCTACAAAGTTTAGGTGATGATCCAAATTTACTATTCTTTCCAGTTCTTTTAATTCCTCATCAACCAATTCACGTTGTCGCAATCTGAACAAAACAGTTTTAGCTCCCAATATATTCTTACTTTCTACAAAATAAATAGGCGTTTCAGGCATTGCTAGCGTCGATAAAACAAATATTATAGATAGGAAGCCACAGGTAATCGCGAATACTTGCAAACTAAAATAGTACCCGCAAATATTAGAATAGAGAATACCAACTGAAATAGACAGTTGTGTTAAGCCACCCAAAGATCCTCTGATTTTTTGTTCGACAATTTCATTTATGTAGAGCGGCACAATCACACACAATCCTCCACATGCCATGCCCGATATGAATCTTCCTATGAGAAGCATCCAAACGGCCTTTGCAAATATTATTATTATCCAACCAGCGAGCATTATTACTCCGCAGGTTATTAGTGTTATTTTTCGTCCGAAACGATTGCAAATTTTCCCGATAAATAGTGAAAAAGTTGCTGCTCCCAAAGAGGTCACTGATGATATCCATCCTATTTCGTTTGTGTTTATAGAAAATCCCATTTCCCCATTTGTGAGCTTTTGGTCGATTTGAGAGGGCCATGCTAGCGTCGTTCCAGTACACAAAGTTCCAAGGGAAGCTATAAAAATTAAAAAATAGCTTAGTAAAATAGTAAGATATTTATGATAAAAATATTCACGAGGATGAAGTTTCCGTCTCGAGTCGCACTCCAATTATTAGTATATTATTAAATGATTTTCAAAAATAAATAAATAAAATATGACATCTGTCAGTTGGTTAACTCATTTTTTACCAATTTTAATAGCTATTTGTGTATTAAGAGCGCAAAGTGATACATGCCGCTCTGAGCGAGAAGATTGACGCGTAGCGGAGCGCGGCTATCTCGCGAGAACAGCAATGTCACTTTGCGCTCGAATTACACACAGGATTTTTTCTACAACCGCTGTTTCTATAAGAGTGCTTGGTAAAAATTCATAATTATTGATAACCTCAAATTTGACGTTTGTGTCAACAGCCGCAAATACACTAACGTTTCTTTATTATGGTTTTCATGGTAACTAAGCGAGCGACAAAGTAACTTTGTCCTTCGGCGAGCGACAAAGTAAAAAAATGTTCCCTTTCATTCGGAAGAGCAAATTTGTACTTTTCGCTTGGTTTTAGAAAAATATTATTATAGTCGCCTTCTCACAATTAAAACCCGATTGGTTCAAATCAGAGTGAGTATTGAAATTGGCCAATTAATAATGCATAACAACGTAAATACGGGGAATTAACAATGGTTATAATTATTTACGGAAAAAAATATTATGCAATAGAAGTAGAAAAACATTATATAGGTACTTACCAACAAGGGCAGCAATCAATTGATGATAAAAATGATAACTTCTTTGTTTCTGACCTGTATTATTTTTGCACTAAAATAAAAGCAAATTTTTTTTAAATAATGGTAAAATATTTAAATTACCTTATCCATCTTTATGTCACGGAGTATATAGATCTAATGTATTAAACTAATTTATAAAAGATGGTAAGGAACTTTATTTATAGCAAATTATTATCTAGGCGAGGGCGTGTTTCCTTTAATACATATTTTCCCAATAATTAAAAGTAAACTGATAATGTACAAAAAAGTACAGGTTGGTAACATATTTTTATTTTAAAGTATTAAAAATACACGTAAGTATACAAGGGGTTCTAAACATTTTAAGCATTAATATATATTTTTTGACAATTTTTTTTTTTGAGTTTGTTCTATTTATATAAATTAAATAGTAAAATTTTAAAAAAAGAAAAATTTATGAAATATTTTGTAAAATTAAATATTTTTGTTTTATACTTTTATATAAACTAATCAAAGTTATTAATTATGGTTTATTAAAAATTAAAAATATTAAATAAGCTAATTTCTAAAAACTAATTAGTCAAAAATGACTAATTGTCACAGCGAAAAAGCAGCCACTCATCCGAACATTTAGCAGTCAATTTTTATGCAAAATTGTCTCCTGAATCCGAAAATGTCGCCAAAAGTTAGAAAAGTAGAACAGTTTTTTAAATAAAGTAAATTTTCCATATACCATGATATCCCACGGTTAACCATGGTATAAGTGAAAAAGCAGCCACCAATAACTGTAGTAACTATTCATTTTTTACTAATTAATTTTTAGAAATTACTAATTGGCACAATAAAATTTTTAATAGGGATGTTGAATTGAATGTACATAGTGATTTATATGGCAAACAAATTTAGGATGGAATTCCTTATATGAAAATTAAAAAAAATACTATTAGTTAGTTTCCAGAGTTTGCAATTTTTTAAATAATAAATAAAAAACGTCGTGTTCTTTATAATATCTAAAATACAAATATAACTTGCTTATTATTAATTATTAATTTTTATTTTTATTTAATTTTTTAAAAAATATGTTTATTTTTGGAATGTGAATTGTTCACTTGCTTCAGAAGTTTGAAATTTGTTCTCAAAACCGACGCAAGATCAGAAAAACAGTAAGTGTTCAAAAAAGTTTTATTTTTAATTGTTTCATCTGGGACATAATATTTTAGATCAAATATTAAACACAATGGAAATGTACAACGAACTTAAAATACTTCGGATTCAGAAATTCATCAATCTACACTCCATGATGTTAGTGTACAAAATAAAGAACAATATTTTAATTACCAAAATTAAGCTGCAATTAAACTTTGATATACACCAAAACAATACAAGGACCAGACAACATTTCCATGTGGTACCAAATTCTTTAAATATGGGAAACAAGATCTTCTCTCAGGCTGTAATATTGTTTAACCAACTACCAGAAAATATTAAAACGCTTACATACGTTGTAGATGCTTGTAATCTCTGTAAAATCCATTTAACAAATTGTTATATGGTAAACAAAAATTAAATAATAATTTAAAAAATACATTGAAAAAATTAAATTAAAATCAAAATTCTTTATAATGCAATGAAATAAAAAGGTAAATTTAATCTAATTACATCAAAAGTTGGCCATTATTTTATTAAGCATTAGATAGATATATTCAAAATTAAATATTTTTATAAAATGCGACACAGCATTGCAACATGTAGTATCTCGGAAACGAATCATTTTCAAACACTAATCAATGGAAAGTTTTTTAACTTATTTTTAAGGAATCTACTCCTGAATATTAATAAATCACCCCTTCAAAGTAGAATTATAAATATTAAATATTTTAATCGACCTTGTTAGTAGGATCGTATTTTTAAGTTAATTCCAGTTTGTCTGCAAATTCTATTTATTTATGATTTTTTATTTCATATTTAAGATAAACCTTACACAACTTATCCACATGTAATTCTCAGTAGAAGCACTTCAATTTTTCCCACGATAAGGATCTTATCGTAAAAAAGTAAAAAGATGAAAGGCGCTGCCGACACTAAAATGAAAATTCCATTATTTTTTTAAAATAATTTACGAAGTCATAGCAAAAAAATGTTTATTTTTTATCTTTTAATTTTATAATATCATGTGTTAATTTCATTAATTTAATTAAACAATATAAAAGATTCTAATTTTCTATACACATTGTGTGTTTAGCTATACATAATATTATGAAATTAAAAGATAAAAAATAAATATTTTTTGCTACGACTTCGCAAATTTTGTTGGCTTGGGCTTGAGATGCCCGGGCATAGGGCGAAACAATTTTAGATAAAATTTGGAAGACAACAAACAAATTTTAAACGAAAATATTATTGTAGGTGCTACAAATTAAATACAATTTTTTAACAAAACTTTAAAATATAAAACAACAAATAATTTTTTTTATATACGAGGTGTGTTCAGGAAATAACGGGAATGTTCGTTTTTTAAAAAAGTATTTATTTATTCGTTTACATTAAAAATGTCGTCTTCAAAATAATCCCCATTAGATATTATGCACTTGTGCCAGTGCTTCTTCTAATCCTCTAAACTCTTCTCAAACACGATCTTTGGGATAGTCTGTGTAAGGTTCTCTTTATTTTGGGGAATAGGAAAAAGTCAGACTGGGCCATGTCTGGCGAATATGTAGGCTGGGGCAACATTACAGTATTGTTTTTGGCAAAAAATTGTGTTTAAAATTCAACAATTTTGGAACAAATTTTGCTGCCACGCGTTTCATACCCAAAACATTCGAAAACATTTCATCGATATGCCAACATCATCAGCGACTTCTCTGATTGTGATTCGGTGATGGTTCTTAACCATTTCTTCCACTTTTTCCATGTTTTTATCGGTTGTTAATGTGCTTGGGGTCCGGGCGTTTGTCATCTTCAACGTCTTTACGGCCATCTTGGAAACTCATATATCACTTATAAACTCTTGTTTTACTCATAAGCCTTTCTTAACATTTCACACAATTTATTTTATTTTTTACCGAAAATTTGATACAAATTCTTTGATCAATTTCTTTTAACGAACGAAAATCGCTGAGCTCATAAAAACACGTCTTAATTTATTTAACTCTTAAGAAAATGTGTCTTTTATTCATTCTTTTTTTAGTGCATAAATTAAAATTTGTTCATAACATCTAAATAGATATCTGAATTTCATCCAAAAATCTGAAGGGTTTTTTTACAGCACAAAATGTTAAAAAAAAGTTCCTAAGAACATGGGGTAAACAATGCTTTATAAGGGAGCTACGCCCCTTTAAAGATGGCACACAACTTCATAACTGGGATTTTACTAAAAATCATTTTAGGTTGCAAAATATATAAAATAAATAATTAAATTTATTATTGTATGGAACAAGATTTTTATGATTTGAAAAATTTTAAAATAACTGCCGAAAATATCTTGTAAAAATATTAGGTACCTATCATAAATTTTAGAGTTTTTGAAAATGTTTTGTATAACAAATTTGGATTTATTATGATAGAAATGTTTTTAGTTGCAATTATGTCATCTAAATACAACCCCAATATTACAAAAAAGCATGTTTTTTGATGGAAAAATTTGAAAATTTAGTTAATTTGTTAAAAATAAGAATTTACATGAAATAGGTAAAATTGTGTACACTAGTTTAGGTAGTAAAATGTAAAAATTAGGTCCATTTCTCTTGAAATGAAAATTTAGGTAAAATAGGTAAAATAAAATTAGGCTCAAATTAAATAATTTTCTTCAAAACATTTTATTCCATTGCACCTAAAGTAGACAAACACTAAAATTCCATCTATATTCATAACGCAGAACCAAAAATATTTTAACCGATTTTATTAAAACACTTGCTTTTAGCCCTATATACATCCAATAACCTAATTCAAAAATAAAATAACCCCTATGACCCCCCAGTTTGGGTCCTCCACATAACAAGGCAATATCGGGTCTTCAATAGAAAAGTTCCATTTGTTAACTGTAGTGCGTATGCCAAAATTGAATTTAAGTTCAAGAACACCTGAGGTAGTGTAGTAGTTAGCACTGCGGACTACAAGCCGAGAGGTCGTGGGTTCGAATCCCACCAGGGGTATGGTTGTTTATTTGTGTTTGTCATTGTGTATTTCTGTAATTGGGCCTGGTGCCTGTTGAAATCACATTAAAAATAATAAAAAGTAAATGTTGAGTGCCATCTTCAAAAGAGCTTAGCTTTCTTATAAAGAGTTTTTGATCCTACAGTTCGATTTTTAAAAAAAGTAACTTTCATCATTAATTTACGGATCACACTCAGACATTGTTTTGTATTTCCACACCCAGGCGCGCTAGCCATGGAGCGATGGCATACACTGATACGTATGTCGAAAAACAGGTTTTAAATCTATGACGAAAGTTACTTCTTTTAAAAATCGAACTGTATATTCTTTTACTTTTTACTTTAAGAAACCAACCGGCGGATTTTAAAGTTTGAATTCTTATACAAAAGTTACTAGAATTTTACCCAGACTTACCTACTTGCAACTGTCAATAAAAATTGAGTCCGATTTTTTTAAACGGCAATAGAAACATCTCTATGCGGATCATCCGCAGCGGATGCCTTTATGAAAGGGTATTGCACGTTGAATTGCGTACTGTAATACGGGCTTCACAAATTAGAAATTCGCTGGAGTATCTATAATTTAGTTCCTATAAACAAGATTAGGTATAGGAATTTTTAAAAACCACGTTGTGTATGTAGGGGTATGTATAAAAGCAAAAGCACCAATCTCCACTTTTTGGAGAAATTTTGTTATTGGTAAAATAGGTATCTTTATGTTCATATCTACAATGCGACTAAATATTTTGTAGCAAATCCCTCAATAATCTATCTAAATTGAATGTTAAAAATAGGGTTTGGTGGCAAAACTAGCAATCTCCATAGTTCTGGGTGTATACCTATAGCAAAACCGGCAATCTCCATTTCGACCAATCACGCATTGCAATCTGTTTTAACATTGAATACACGAAAAAAATCGAATTTTAAATTTAGTTTGTGCCTATAGCCAGGGGCGTGCTGGCTATATCAGACCGGCCCGGG